CACTTATTGTTAACAACTGTGTTACTGTTTAGGTTTAGGCCTAATCTATCCCTACCTATGCATTTGCATGTATGGCTTTTGCTGCTCTTTCCTCCATTTTGTTTCCTCTTCTCTCTCCCTGCCTGTACCCCTGCACCACCCTTTTCCCCTCTCACTCCGTCCTACTCGAGCATGCACATCTTCAGGTCATGGGTCATTAAGTCAGCTCCAGAGGGGATATGTTGGAACAGGATATTTCTCATATTGCCCTGCCTCCATCACACGACTATAAAACACAAACATATGCATATCACATTCACACAATGTTCTCATTCATTAATACAGGAACACACTAAAGCATCATAGCCTTGAGTCAACCTCTGATTATGCAATGCTTTGTATAATGTAATTTATATTATTGAGGACACTGTAATTGCAGAATATTTGATTGTATTTAAAATGTAATATATTATAAATGATATATATCTCTCTAAAATCAACCCAAACTTATACTTACAATTCTAAGCAAATCAATCAGTTTTTCAAACTAACAGGATATTACCGTGCTTTACTCATACATTTATTTATATTTATTGTGTCTTGGGACTGATCAAAAGAGTTTACAGATGAAATCCTATGACTGGTTTATGCTATGAATTTAAAATATATGACAAAAATGTATTAACTAGTACAAACAAGTGCATAACCAAAAACAAATTATGATGGCAATGTCTGGTGTATGGTTACTGGCACAACAAAAAAACAAAACAAAAACAATATCTTCATATTATCAGTAACCATAAAGTGTTGACATTTATGCCTTCCAGTTTTGTCAAACGTGCATGTTTCTTTAGAATAACTGTGAGCCCTATTTGTGGCTGCCATAACTAGTGTCATGTCTGTCTTTCTAATTAGCTCTCAAATCTAGGGGCAGCGCATCACTATTGGAGCATGTGAGGAAAATCATAATGGCTGATGTGTAAAATGCTGACACTTTCACATTGACAAAATGTCTGACAGCCATGGAAATTGGACTTTTATTATACAAAAAATGTTTTCCTTTTTAACTAAACTAAAATGAAACATTCGGATTGCACAGTGTGGCGGATGCAGCTGATGCACTAAACAAATTCTCTTGTATGCACTCTCACACACCTTTGCCGTGTGCTGTTAATGAATAACTAACTAGCAGCGAGGAAAGGGAGCCATCTTCTCTGAGTAAGGCCAAATGAATTCGCCAAAGCACTATGCAAATGTTCCCTGGGCTAACGAGACTGCCTGCATGATTGGAGTGCCATTGAAATTCTCCTCGTGCACCACTCTTTCTCCCTCCCTCTCGCCCTCCTTCAATCTCCACATCTCATCTGCCATTTCCATCTTTGCTCACGTATTTATATTATCTATCTATCCTTCTCACTATCGCACCATCTTTACATCTCTGTATTCAAACAAGATTACTTGAAAGCTGCATCTGTGTGTTCACATTGCTGCCTATCGTTCCAGCCCCCTGGTCTGGGGGACAGCAGTGAATGCCCCACTGTCTTCGTCCCCCTTGTTTTTTTCTAACTAACACACGCACACTCTGGTCTCAAACAGAGCCTGTTCAGAGCCGCCCTGCACCTGTTTTCTCTGTAAAACATCCAAACATGAGTGCTGAATAAATAAGCCGACCTAACACGCATCACTGCCAGGTTCGCACAAAAAAGACACACAGGGAAATACAGACCACAGCCTATAAACACAAATCAATAAGTAAACACTACCCATTTCCCCTTCACACCCGGTGCACAACCTCAGCCCTATAACTCTGTAGAGTAACTCTACCACCAAAATCATGACTATAGGACACAAAGATTTGTTAATAGTCTTTTACTAGCAATAAATAAATAAATAAAACAAGACTCAAAGATAATGGAGGAGAAAGGATGAGGGCATAAAGTGCTTATGGGATGCATCTTTAATGGCAGGACCAGCCAGTGTAAAGCTCCTGGCCCCTTCCCGGTCCCTTGGGTGCTGGGGACAGCAAAAAAACAAGGCGTCTACACCTATTGGTGTGTCCATGTCTCCTCATCGGCGTATACCTACCATCAGCTTCCATTCTATGGCACTTTTCCATCTGCATAATTCAGCATGTCATACTTTTTGTGCCACTTTTGCTGCTTGTCTTTTCTGCCTATTTTGCTATTTTTTGTTCCGATCTGTTGTTAACTTTTAAGCTTGGTGGAGTGGAAGCAAAAGATGATGCTTTGTCACTTTGGATTGAGGAAAGTGCTTCCAGAAAAAGGGAAACGATGAAGAAGAGCAGATGTACAGAGGAGTGGAGACAAGAGTGGCCACAAAATGGAGACTGGCGACACTACACATCACACAGACACAAAGCCACTGTGTGTGCTAGAGAAAGGGGATTAAACACCCTCAATCAATGGATGCAAAAACCCAGATGTCACAACATGAGCTCGCTCCCAGTGTCCTCCCTTTCAACCAAATCAACAAATCAATGGCTCCATCAAAGAATACATCAATAAGCCAATTTTTCTTTTAACATATTTGATTCTGATTAGTCCATCCAATGGCATCTTATTTTGTAAATAAAAATCTGTGAATGACAACTGACCTAGCCATGGGGATTTCACATTTACACTTTCCTTACACAACTTGAGATAAAGCTGTATAAAGATCTGAAGTAGTAGTAGTAAGAATCCATGACATCACCATAGAAATCACATAGTAAGTGAAAGTGAAAATACATTTATAGTCTGTCATGTTAACTGTTAAGTGTGCATTGAAATGCTGGAGTGTCCTCTGTGTGTGCATGTGCACGTGCGTGGCAGATCTGAGCCATGGAGATGCGCTAATAAAAATCAGGCACCAATGCATCCTCACACCTTCCTCATTCTGCACGCCAGTTTGCACCCGTTACCATGGTGACCAGATAAAACTCACACTGTTTTAAGCTCCAATTGGAGAAGGAGATGGAGACTAACTAAGTGACACATATACACAAGGAGGAGAAGTCTTCATACATATCTGTCAACAGAGCAGACTCTCTCTGTGCCCTAACTGACAAGCAAACAAATGCTAATTTTCTAACCACAAGCAACACTGACAAACCATCAATTAGAAGGCAAGACATGTCTAAAGAGATATGGGAGATATGACAACGGAGTAACACCCAAGATAGCCAGTCAACACAACCAGCCCCTTATGTTTGACTGTGTGCTTATCTGCCTGTCTCCCCTCAGCCCCACCACACCTCGCTCCATAAAACAGGCCTCAATGCAAACACATTTGGCTGTCAAATAGTGACACAACACCCCGGCAGGGTCGCCTCACAGAGAGGCCAGCTGTCAGTGAACACCATCCTGCCTCTTCATCAAAGCCCATTCAAACTAAGCTTTATTGACCAACATGGCGGTCTATATGGCATGTGTCATCCTGTCAGGCCAATACCTTGGCATAAACTGTTCCTAATAAATGGCAAAACACAGGCAAATCTTGAGTGCTGGGAAAAGAGACAAAGATGTACATGCTGCCAGGAGCTGTCCAGTGATTGACGGATGGCTTGATAGACGCATTGATGGATGATAGGTGTGTGGCAAAGTTTAATAGTGGGAAGCACACAGGCACTTGGCCTGCATGTCTGCAAGTGTCCTGAATGCTGACAAAGGCCTTTAGTAGAAAGACAGTCGAGTGATGTGAATGAGACTCCAGTCTCAGCACACGCACACAATTGTTTTGTGAAATGTAAATTAATAGTAAATTCTTCATATATACTTCATAACAGTTACATTCTGCATTGTTTTAGTCCATGCCCCCTTGCCTGTGTGTATTAACAGTATTTGCATGTTTTAATGAATAGGCCCATCAGTTGATCAATAGCCTACTCCCACTGAGCTCTTACCACACAGTCATGATACAGTGGCTTTTACAAACACACACACTGCATTTGCAGAGCTATCAGTCAAACAGACTGGCCCTGGTTTCACCACTTTCACACTGAGGGATCTGTGACAAGAGAGAGGGGAATCCAACAGCAAGCTTTATCGATCCAGACTGGAAACCCCCCTCAGGCCACACACACATAAATACACACACTACAGCTGCGCTGGATCAATGTGTGCTCCGCTGTGAAGGACAGGGCCATACAAAGAGGTACACCACTGATACACAGCATACACACAACTGAGTGAGATAAAAGAGGTGCTTGGTATCAGAGAGCCAGATAAGGGGCAGCAGGCGCACAGTGTATCATCTGACCTGAACAGTCTAATCTGACACCCTGCAATTTGCCATTGCTCTATAGATCAAGTGTTAACACTGACAGCACAATGTTGCTTACACATATTCACACAAAGTATACATGCCAATTCAAGGACTCACCGTTGCTTAAGGAAATATTTCAATAACTGTGATACAAAAGACAGAAAAGTCTAGTATAGCACAGAGCTGTGACTTAGGCAGCAGTGATGACCAGCTAACGTGGTGCCCTCTCATCAAATTAGACACACACCTACATCTTTCCCTCTCTCCCACACACACAAGTGATTTATCCCTCCAGCTATTAACCACAATGGTGTCAGTCAGTGAAGTGCAAATGATGTGGCAAGCAAAAGCCATTTCATCAAACTTATTTCTAAAATATTACACAATGTTTCACAGCCAAAATATAGACACTGACATAGAGGGACAAATTTCAATAACAAGTGTTCGACAGAGTTGCACAGTACAAAAAGGAAACATTCAATATATGAACTGTAATATCACTCATTTCAATTCAAAAGCAAGTTGTATTGCAGAAAAGGTTCCCATACCAAACCCAATACCACAGTTTTCCATTAGCTATTGCCTATACTCATATTAGATGTTTCTCTATCACTACAATCTACCAAAATTGGTCAAATATGCACTATGAAAAAGATAATTGTCACAGTCCCACCATTGGATTTCAGTAAATAAAAACTTGGATAATACACTGATTTTCAGCGGCAGGCTTGTATCTTTTCAGCTGTACAGTTTCTTACCTGGGACAATAGAGACGGTGTCCTTCTCCCAGGAAACAACACTGACATACTCCTGGACAGCTGAGGGGATGAGGCACTTGAACACGGCGACATTTCCTCGCATGGAGCGCTGGTCAGCCACACGGACTGTGTAGGGCTCCCTGAACACTGCACAAATCAGACTTATTGTTAATATCTATTACAAACAAACACTTCAAGTTGCACTATGTAACTTTTCTGGTTCATCACATTCTTGTCTCCATGAATGATGTTCTTGATTTGCCTGCGTTATTCCACAGTATGGCATTACAGTGAGTGGGGTCACTTCTTCACAGATTAAACCTGTTATTTGACATAATAGTGTCACCTGCTTGCCTCCATGGGAAGAGTTAAGTTTACTGCCATACTGTGGAACATGAATAATGATACCTTACACATGTAATGCACTTTACAGTCTTGTCAGAGCTCATATTTATTCACTCCACTCTTAATGGATTTAAGCTAGTATTGTAGTCACACCTGCCCTAGGTCAGACTGATGGAAGCATAGCTGCCCAGTCTGCACATCAGCTCCTTCAACCACCATCAGTCACACACAGACACCAGATTCATACTAGGCAATGTGACTTAGGTGTCTTGCCTAAGAACACAACATCATAACTTCCAGGTCTGAGCAAGAAATTGATTGCCTGGCAAATCCTGAATGATATCTTTGTATTTTTATACAGATGGGTATCAGTTTGATCCCCATACCCCTGTGATGACCAAAGTCCAACCAAACATGATTGTGCAATCAGATTCGTTTTTTTCAGTGATGCATATAATTTACAGACAAATGACTCCCCTCAAATCTCTTTGATTTGGTAGAAATCTGCAATGTTTTTCAATCCCCAGTGATATTTTCTTTTTTCCCTGTAAACAGCCATATTTGTTTTGGTAGGAACAGACCTTTGGATCAGTTAATCCACCTCTCAACCAGACTCACATTTTCATTAAGTATTGAAGAAGTGTGTATTCTGGATTCTAGCCAAGGAAATCGAACCTCAAACCTTTGGGTTGGGAGATGACTACTCTAACCACAGAGTGTGCCCCAAAGCAATAGCATCTCCAAGGAATTAAGCAGTTGTGGGCCTCCTATCAGAGAAGTTACATAGTGCACCTTTAGTAGATAAAGTAAAATACATGTTACGCTTACATAGATAGCAGCCAAAGAAAGGAATTGGTGAATGGAAATAGAGAATTTAAACAAAATCACCAACCAATATCAGTTCTGTGGAAACCAACTATGTTGCTGTTCATGTCTGATTTCTACTGACAGATTGTTAAACAATTTTACCAAGGCAATACCAGAAGGAGCATGGTCACCATTTTAATTATAGTTGCACAATATCTCAGTTTAGACAAAGCAGTAAAAATGTATTATAAAATAATAAAAATATGACACAGTTACACATGTTTAAAAGAACTGACCGTGTCTCAGTGCCACTACATGAAAATAAACATGAATGTTAAAAAGCCACCAGCCTGGGATTAAAGTCAGTTATTGTAAGAAGGGTTGACTTGAGGGTTGGCTGAGAGGGATACACTGTGAGAGGCCATTGGCCTTTTAAAGAACAAGGCTGCAGATGCTATGAGACAGGAAGGAGTTGAGGGCCGCTCTTGGCCAACAGACCTGTCACAAACAGGCGCAAGGCATCAAAAACATACTCCCTGCTAATGGCATGTAGTGCACTACACTCTGAATGAGTGCCAGTATCCTCAAATAATAGTAATGAATTTTACGTTCTAATGATGGAAACAGTGGCCTGTAGCTAAGCAAATTATCTCTACAGTTAATCTCATCATACTTGCATTAGTCAGAAAAGTGATATGCACATGCATTTTTATGAATTCACTGTTTAAACACATTTTGTAACAGAAGAGTTGGGTGAGTGATTTACAAATACATTTAAATATCTGTAAGAAGCAACTAAAAAGGCATAGTGTGAAATGGGTGTAATTTTACACAGACCAGTTTAGTGATGCTACTTAATAAAACACATATTAAGAATATTTCTTAACAATGTGCAAATGATATACAGTTTACATGCAATGCACATATATAGCCACTGCCTCCGTTGTATTGGCGTCTCTATCTTCTCCAACTCTTCCATGATATAATTAACACTTGGCCATAAGGCCAGCACCCTTGGTCATTAATAATGCTTTATTCCATACACCTCTGCCACTGTAATCCAATTTAACCAAACCTATTGTCCAGTACAAATGATGAAAACTTAAACCAAAAAATCAACAATGGTTGGCCAAGTTCTTGTCTGATTGTTCTGGACTCACAATAGTAAAAGAGAACTTTTCATATGTCTAACACCTGATATCAGACATTGTGTAGTGTATGTAAATTTGGCCCATGGGTCCTGAAAAACAAAAATAAAATCTGTATAGATTGATTTGGGGTTTATAAAGCTACTTTGAAAAATTGAACCAATTAACAGCAGCAGTAATATGTTCTCCAGAGACACTCAATAACATTGGCTAGCTGACACGCCCTGGAATGAGAAGTGTACAGAGTTCAATTTCTTACACACAAACCAGTCTTAAAAGGCAAATAATTCCAATGAAGTCTTCATTTTTAAATAATTTTCACTTAAAGAGTCGCATTGTACCTGCAGATCAATAACTCTCATTGATTGAGGAGGCTCCTCTCTTGTGACCAAGTCAATTCTTTCAATCATTTATTTACACTCTGACTGACCCCACTGACACTTGTCAATAGCAGGGAAAATCCCCAAAGCCCAATAAAAGTTTCATACAGTGTTTAAAATCAGCTTGACAGCTTGTAAGTGTTTGGTGCTACGACGTCAGTCACAACAAACATGCAAATTTAATCACGGTTCAAAGGCATATAAGGTCACTGCAGGTTCACTAACTCAACTTGAATAACTATGTATTGATATTTTTTATTACTCATTTATTTGATTAGAGACAATGCAGTTGGACATATAAGACATATATGACATATAAGTGCAATGTATGCAAATGATGTTCTTTTAACTTGGTCATCTCCTCTTGTTGAGCTGTTCAGTCAAGACTATATTTATATATGCATTAATATTTACGTATTTTTCAAATCTCAGAAATAAATAAATGTAGCATATAGAGAATGAATGTACAGAGTACACACCGATGTTACAGTGAAAAAAACCCAGACACTAAAACCTTATTGTCCATAATGTATTGATCAACAATATTTAACAATACTATTGTCAACTGGCACATATTTTGTCATATATTGTACTATATAGACTAAAGAACATTTTTAAATATTGTCAAATTTACATTCCCTTAAAAACATATTTTCCCTGTAAAATTTTTAACAAGATGCAAATGGTTGTGCAACTGATTTGTGTGTAAATTGCACTCCCCCATCGCATGTGCAGCAGAATCATTAGGATGTTACTGATGCCTGACTATATGCAGACTGGTTGCCTAGGAACGAGCTAAAACACGGGTCTGGTGCACTGGGCGCACTGGGAGGCAAGTCCTGTATCACTGTCACTTCAATAATTAACGACAGGGAAACCAAATACTGCATTTACTTATTCATAATATAAGCCACAAAAACACAGAGGACATAAAACATTTTCAACATTATAATTATTTATCTGATAGTAAAATAAAGTATAAATGTTGTCGATTGAGAAACCCAAATACTCTTTATTAAAACTGATATCATGAGTCAGCGTAAATCAGAAATATCAGGGAGAAGTTTTGGAGGTGAGCAGATGTCATGTTGTGTATTGGGTTTTACAGTTGCAGTATAGCAGTCAGACGATTCCTGTTGCTTTTTCTGTTTTTCTGGCTAGCTCTCTCACCTCACAGCAAGTAGGTCTTGGGTTAAATTCATGGGCATGATGTTACCTTTGGAGCTTGCTCCATGTGCCTGGGTAGATTTCTTCTGGGTACAAATTATTTATATAAAGTAATTAAAAGTGAAACCCTAACCTGACTAGTAAGAATGCCAAACACTGTAAAACCAGCCCACATAGAGCCAGCCAGACAGGTGCTGCTGCTATTACTGGAGCATAATCAGCATGCATGGAAAAGGGTGAGAACGAGGGGGGAGGATTGAGAGATGTAAAAATGTGAAGGAAAGGGAGAAACAGACGAAAGGCACCAGGGATGGGGGGAGGGGCTCAGTTTTGGGGGGAGCCACACTGTGTGCTGTCAGCTGTCATCATTCTCCCGCACCACCTGAGACAGGGCATGCCACACCCTAGCGCTCACGCCTTTGTCGCCCATGGCAACCACTCTGCGGGGGTAATGAGGTGCACCACACGTGAATCAGACATGCTTATGGAGCTGTGGAGTTGTGGTTGCCTCAGCATTTAATTGATTAATTGTTGTAATTATTTGGGAGAGAAGGTCATCCCAGCATTGAAGCTGCCTATAAGGTCACTGTGATGCTGGAGGGACCGTCCTCCTCTGAAAACCACACTGGCCAGATGAGTGTGATTGTTTTGTTGGTGTAAAGAAAAAAAGAAAGAATAATACAAGATGATGTTACAATCTGATGGGGACAGTCACATTTTTGACCTGACAGCTATGACCAACTAGTTAAAAACAAACAAATAAAAAAAAATATCTCCATATCTTTCCATGCCTGTAGCTGACTCTCCAAAATATTTCCTGCCCAACATTCTGACAAAGAGCTGGCAACTAAACACAAAGAGCAAGCCTGACTAAAATGGATGTGTGTTTGCGTGTCTGTGTGTGATTCAGTGTGTGAGCGGTTAGGGGACTTTCCAGTCCATGGACAGATGGAGAGACTGGGAGACAGGAGGCTTGCTGGCATGAGCTGTGCACAGGCTGGTGTGCATAGTGTGCTTGTTTGTGTGTAGATATATAGGTCTCTGTGTCTATACCACTCTAAGGATACAGTCATTTACATGTGAACAAACAAATGTGTGCCAATGAGGGATATTCTAGTGTTGAAGACACCTGAATAGACAATGATGTCAGTTTCCAGTTTTGACCTTGGCAGGTCACTCAAACTGTCCTACTGTGAGTGTCAATTAGACCCTCCACTGGAAGGAGATCTTTTACTAAGCTCTAGGTGTGATATGTTGCTACTAGGAGTAATTATTAATTAATTTCTGGAAGTCAACAACCAATATAATAAAGGGAATAAAGTAGAATAACACTGATAACATGAAATTATAAGATTTGAACAATTGCACTGATCACAAAATATATTGCTATAACACAATATATTCATAAAAAATTAATAAATTGTATTTGTAGACTAAATTCTTCCCATGATGGAATCAATCGCCATGTTTTGTTGCAATAATTAGGACTAGCCAATAAATTTTAAAAAGTATTAAAAGTAATAAAAAATAGACTGATCACCATAGGGCTGTATATATCGCAGATACAGTATATCACTATCACATAAAAAACATAAATAAAAAAAATAAAAACATAATTAGTTGTAGCATGACAGTTAGAAAACACAGGCCCCATAATGTGATTATAAGAGAATCGCTCGGGTCCTGAACAAGATGTAATAGTAATATAGGGATATGTTAATTTTTGACACTTACTGCCATTAAAGTATTTAACATATCTTAATAAAACATTGCCTGCAAACTGGTAACAGTTCCTGGCTCTGATGCACACCTTGGTGGCATGAACTTCATATGTGAATAATTATAATAATTATAATAATGCTATACCCGTCTCCCAGCATATCCAGCATTTATATATACAGGTGCCTTGCCCAAAGGTACACCAGAAAATCGCCCCTTTAGGCTTTTATAGCAGGAACTGTGTTGATTTGGGAAATTTTCTTTTTTGTCTTATTCTGTTAGATGTTTAGATATTTTTGTTTAATTTTGTTTATGATTTCTCACAAGCAGAAGCAATTCAGTCTAACTAACATAACAGATGTACATTTTTAAACATAATAGCTGCATAAAGAGAAATAGTCAAAAGTCAAAGACAAGTTGATTAGCTCACCTGCTTTGATGTGAATGCTGGGGCTGCGAATCTTGCCTGCCTGGTTCTCGGCAGTGCAGAAGTATTCATTGTCATGGATAATGCTGTTATAGGCAGAGGGGGAGAAGGGGTAGAGCTGGAGGGTGCCGTTGGCATGCACATGGCGGATATGGGGTACGTCGTAAATGTCGTCTCCGGCAGCCAGGTACCAACGCAGGACGGCATGGGGGGCGCCGCCCGCAGGGCAGGGCAGGGACACCCCCACCGAGCTGGAGAAGGTCACCCGCTGCAGGGAGGCGTTCACAAAGTACAGTCGCGTAGAAATAACATCCTCACTCTTGACTGTTGATAAAAAAAGAAAAGAAAGCAGGATTAATTTAGGTATGTGAAAGATATGAGGGTGATACCCAAATGTCAATTACATAAGGAGTGAGATTATTGGGTAATGAGTTCTACACATCATAAGCAACAACTTGTTTTACAGTACTCCTGCACTGCACTACATAAACAACTTTGCCTCAGTCTTCCAAACGGCTGCTATCCATCTTATTGTGTGTGCATTAACCTAATCTGTCTAATCTAATATGTGTCCAGGGAGCCCTTTGCTCTGTGCACCCACTGTAGGAGGGAGGGTCATGTGATTTGATAAAAAACACACCCTCATGTTGTGTTCATATGTATGCTTTTTAAAAGAGTCCATAAAATAGACCTTTTGCTCATTATAGCTTGTATTTCAAAATAGACTTAAATAGCCCACTGCTTTAAAACATACACTACATTGAGTGTCACTGATGGATACTTTGTCATAATAGCAACTCTGGTTCCTTTTAGAGCAGCACATTAGGGAACAGTGGGCTTGTGCATGTGTTCACTGGGGTTAAGAAGGCATGGGGGGATGTAGAGGAGTATTAAGAAGTGCTGAGCTCAGCTTGGCTGAGGGCCAAGGGAAGACACTATGCCCTGAGCTAGAGAAAAATCTTTTCAGACAATGGTACTTAATTAATCCCTTTTCCTGGATTATGTCAACAAAGCCTGAGTTAGTCCCATCTCTTTAATGCTCATGTACTTGGGAAGAGGGGTTGTCAGATAGCAAATTCATTAAGGTATAGGCAGCATTATACCACTTTGCCTCCAATTAAATAAAAAAAGATATTTGATATAATTTCTGTATCATATTGGCTATATTAACCATAATGTATTGTCCTTATTAAAATTATTGATATGTAGGGTGTCCAGATAAAGGCAAGCACACAACAGGTTATGTAACACTCCAATGTTCACTAATTGCATTTAATCTATGTTTAAATGCAAATGAATGAATGAATCTGGGACAAACTCATCCTACAACAATCAGTCGCACTTGTCTTTTACAAACAGTCAAAGTAATGGGAGTTTGTTTGCTAGTTAAACCCATATAATCTCCTTTCACATTTAACACATACATTGTTTATCCACTCTGTAATCATAGGGCTTTGTGGGGCAGATTTCGGACTTCATTGCTCCTCATGCTTGTGGTGAATGTGGAGCTATGACCAAGGGTCAAAGGGTTGACTGGAGAAAGTGCTCAGTGAGTGCTATAAGGTCATTATATACTGATAAAGTGCTATGGTGGTTCTGTCATAGTGCTATTCGGCAAGAAAAACTGGAGCTAATCTTGGTGTACAAAACATATATATTCAGGTCAAGCTCAATCCATTCCATTATTTAAATTTGTGTCAGTTATGTCACTTGCGAGTCTGAAGAATTTGCTCTTTCAGCACCATGGAGAGCGCCTCAACATGCTCCGATAAGTGTGGGGCACTAACTAGAAAAGCACTGCAATTCAATGGTTTAAAGACAGCAGTGGTGTTCCTCTGTCAATGCAGCTTTTGCCCAAAACACAATCTCCAGACTTCTGGATTTCTTACATCCCAAAGCTCAACCCTGACCCTCCTAAAATGCAGATGGAGACAACATACTGTACCCAGTCATGAAATGGACAGTAATCCTTTTACAAGTGGTGATAGGATAATCTGATTGTGAGTGAAATTTTAAAGTAATTTCTTTCTCTGTTTAGCTTGTAAGTCAAATGTTTGTTGGCTATTGTTAGCTGAAGTGAATATGAAAATTAAGTATGAATAAGTATGCTAGAGAAGGATATTGCCTATGGTGAACCACTATGCATAATGCAGTTTTTCTGTCTCAGCTACATTCATTCAGAGACTCAGATTCTCAACCTCACGTGCATAGAAACACAGAGCCAAAAGCTCTCGTCGTCTCTTTATTGCATCAGTTCACTTCCTCTATACACACAAAACTCGTATAACTTTCAAACTGAACCTTTAAACAGATATTTTTGTGTCTACATGTACAACTACAGCCAACACGCATTTCTAGCAGCCAACCAAGAACAGCAGATGATGCCTGGTAATAAATACACCATGTTTAATTACAGACAAATAGTGTGCATTATTAACTATCTGAAGGTAAGGTTTGCGGATAAGGGCTAATTTGAGTAAACAACACACACACAGAAAGAGACAGCTGCATATTCACATAGCTCTGTGCACAGGTGTCATTAATAAAGTTCCCCCATTAAAGTGATAGTTGTGGTTTTGGATCTACAGAATGTATTTCAATATGTTTTAAAATGTTTAGTTTCAAGCATAGACAAGACCTTTTCCACTATGCGTAATGAATATAAAAGCATGCAAATGTTTTGCGTAAAACCTGTGGCGGCTGAAAGCTTTCTGGGCTTCAAACCGACAAACCTCTTAATACTTCGGCCACTGAGTCACGCAGGGAGTTTTGCTTTCAAAGTTTCGCAGGAAACAAAACACTCTTAAGCAACGTAACAGTTGAATCTTAAAACAAAGCTGGACACTCTAGTGATAAAGCAGTAAAAATGACAACATCGGCCCTACTTAACGCGACTTGAGTAGCCACACTGAAGATGACAAAAGGCGGACAAACTTAAAAATCAAACTTGAAAACATTAAAAATACACACAAGTTTCGCATATCATATCTCCACTTACTATGTCGGCTAAGCACAACTCATATTGTAGATATTTCTTGAAAGTGACCAAAAACATGCATCCAGGAAGCATTTTTACTCAGTTAATGTTGAAAACATGAATCCGTGTGTTTCTTTATCAGTATGATAAACAAAATGAGAGCAACTACTTTATCTGGAAACAGAGGGTTGGGTGCAAATCATTTCAGATCAAGTCACAGTGCTGTCATTCCGATGTAAATAAGGCAGCAAGAGCACACTAGCACACCATGATCACTCCGGTGAAAAGGCCCGATGACTGAAACTGGATCAAACCAGAATTAAATTAATTGATGAAATAATTAAGACATGGTCCCACTCCACACAAATGACAAGCGCACGAGGGCTTAATTTATGTTTTATTCGTCATATTATTGGTTTGAAAACATAAGCGCGAGAGGAGGTGTGCGGCGTTGTCATTTTAACGGTTATAAAATGTAAGATTCTCCAGGCCTGTGTGTGGCCTGTGAGGCCTAAAAGATTTCATTCAGTCCTATGCAGGGTTACGTTTGCCCTCCATAAAAATGACAAGCAGACTCCCAAAGCATTAATGTCTGTGCCCCCCTCTTTCACGCGCTCATTGGGGCAGGTGTGCTCCCGCCTCCCATGAAGCCAGAGCGCAGCAACACACGCTCCCTAATCACCCAATAGCCTATAACGATTACGACTGAAAAAAATTTGTATACATTTTTGTAAAGGTCTGCAAAAGTTCAAGCGTAACAGAATCTTCCCACAAAATATTAGCCCAAGACAATATAACATTGGAAGACTCAGTCGAGTCAGAAATTGCGCAGCAACATAACATGCATGTGTCAAATAAAGTTTTTTTTTTTTTTTTTTTTTTTTACTGGTATGTTAATTAGTCACCAGTGGCCTATAAGAATGGCGATCACAAATCAGCAAGAGGAGGTTGCATTTGAAAACCGACTAAAAATATTAACTTTGTTTTCCACTGCATCTCGCCCATCCTCTCTTCATCTCACTGACTCGAACCCTCCTCTTGTTCATCCTCATAGCACAAACTGGGATAAATGTTTTTATTATTCGGTTATTATTATTTACGCGTCAAGTCAAATGTATTTCGCAAACAAAATGTGTATAATAATTCAGTTGCAAAGAACAAAACAACTGCAGACTGGCAGAGGGCACTGCCAAGGCCAAGCGCAACGATCAGGGCGTCACTGTCACATTTATACCACAGAAGTGAGAGAAAAATGTATCTTACAATACTTAATATTGATCAGACTTTGGGTGTAAAGACAATAATCCACTCTTAATATTAATAATGCTCAATAGACAGTAAAACAAGCAGAGAATATTCCAAGGCAAAAAGAGCACTTCTCCTTCTTCCGCAGTATTTAGAGCGAAGCCAATCAGTGCAATCTGGTGCCACAGAAAATGGTGGATGAATAATTAGACCGAGCAAGATAACAACTGAGTATATGCGCCACACACTTACTCTTACAACATTTAATCAGGGAAATCAGATGTAATATACGACCACGTCTTTAAATATCCAATTGGGACGTATTATCTCTAAATTAAAAGCCTTGCAGTGCTCAGTGTCCCAGACATCAATCCACGCGCCTTCCATCAATCTTTGCTTAACACATGCCTGTCCTTCTCATGTGTGCTTATATTTTAATTTGTGTTTAATGCAATATAGTGCATACCTTTAAGGATCTTTGCCAAATATAGAAAAGCAATCTGACACACATCACTGGAAAGGTGTTGATACAAGTGCCTCCTGACGTGTTAAAGTTTGCTGAAACTTATGAGTTTTTCTAGATAAACAATCGAGTTATGGTCAAAGTCAGTGCACGGGGTCGCCAGTCTTTCCGTGCGCGCCTGCAGATCCTTATCAGCCTCTCCTATTCAGCAGCCTCCATATTCACGACGTCTCCACATTCATTATGCAAAACACAAATACGATCGACTTTCCCATTTGAACCAAACCTTTTTCTCTTCTCTTCAAACAAGCGCGACTTTCACTACAGTCATACAGATCAAGTGATATTGATTTTTGATAAGAACCGACGTTCGTGATCGTTTTAGGCTAAAACACATCATTGGCAGAGCCCTGGAAGCCATATAAATAATTGTGAGAATCCATACATTTATGAATGCGTACGGCAAAATATAGTTGAAATGACAGAAAAGTTAAGGTGTAACTGAGTTACAATAACTTCAGCATCAAACAATGTCTTAATAAGATGACTGGGAAAGTTCCACCTACCTTTTTGTAAAGAATACAGCAGAAGTAAAGTTACAAGCCACATGCCATTAAAAGCAGTTATATTTCATAGGAATGTTGTGCAGTCCCCAAAAAGAGTGCACAGAGCAGGGGAGGGGGTCGGTCCAGGCGAGGCAGGACTGTGCTGGACTGGATGTGCTGATGCTCCCCGGCTGTTTCTCCAGCCCTGGTCCCGCAATCTCCAGCGCCGCGAAACGAGCCGCGGAAAAAAGTACCGCCTCTGCCTCTCTTCTCTCCTCCCCTTACCGGGACAAGCTGCCGTCGCCCCACCCCCGTTCTCCCAGTGTTACGGCGCGGTGGAGAGGTGAGCCACAGACGTTCAGGCAAAGACGAAGATACGGACCTCTCCTAGATGTACTTCTGTAACACTGACTGTAAACGCTGTGTCCCGAAAAGTTCCATTACTAACCACTAAGAAAGGAAAACGTACGAGCGCATTTTACTTGCAAATCAAACCTCAGTATTCTAATGCTCTTTTCTCAAAAGTGAAGCTCAACCAAATTCATTCTGGAGTATAATCTAAATAGACTGTGTAGAAGGAAACTACCATTTGACCTTCTGTACATTTTGCGCAGCACACCTTAAAGGTGCACCATGTAACTTTTCGCCATGGAGATGTGCAGTGTGGTATAGTACTCGCATGTCATTGAGACAATGTGGTGACAGCGCCAGGCCAGCGTACAGGTTGGATCTGCAGAGAGGTGACCACACAGAGAGATGAGTGCATGGCTTTAGTAATAACAAATGTAATTCATTAAATAAGTTAAATTAGTTTAATCCCATACTGTGGAACATTTCAGGCAAAGTTATTCAATCTCTGAAAAGCAGAAAAGCAAGTTATGTACCACCCAGTAGAAAAGTTTGACTGTGCACTTTTAATGACCCCATATCATATCAACAATCAAGTTTTTCTTCCTTAATCTGTAGATTCTCATTGCAAACCTTTACGTTTGTGTGTGATGCCCCAGCTAACTAAAATTCATACTTTAAGCATTGTGGTGTGGCAGGTATGGCAGCACCCTGTATTTGAGCTCCACGTGTAACATGTTGGACAGCAGACACCCACTATCACACAAATACACACACACTCACAATTCTTTATACAGTTTGAAAGATATATAGATGCGGAAGCTCTAATGTGGCATCTTTGTTTAGATGTCTTTAATTCATACTGTCCCCACACTCTGTACATCTTGACATTCATTTTCACACTTGACACAGTAAGGCTCTTCTCAGCACCACAGCCTTTTACAGTAACACATGAAGTGAGTGTCATGGTTTGAGCTGGTTACAGAGCTGATGTGAGTGGGCCTGACAGCACAAAGCAGGTTGTACTGTCTGTGAGCTAGTGACAGTCATGGTCCCTGACACACAGAGAGGGCCAGTACTGGGCTTCCACCATCCCAGTCCTAGAGTCCACTAGACTAGAGCTCACATCAAAAAGTCAAGCCATGTGACTTCTTCCAGCATTTGCCCCATCAGTGGTTACCTGGAGATAGAGGAGAAGATATCAGGAGGAGGAGTGTGAGTTTGTTGACTGAGGAGGAAAATGAGTGAATAAGGAAACCGCAAAATACAGAGGGAGGGGAGGGAGGGAGGGACCAGCAGCAGACAGAAAGTGAGGTAAGATAAGTTAATGTGGATGTTAATGTTAATGTGTGGACAATCAGAGCTCCCCTTAGGCTTGACTACATGCCAGGATCATATTAGAGATAATGTATCCCGTATTACACACTGCCACGACCAGTTTAAGCAACAGTATAGTCTGAATTGTGAAGAGAAAACATCTGAAAGTCAAGTTTATGTAAAATCAGAAACAAAATAACTTGTATTATAATACTATGGTTCCATATCATTAAGGTTGGCAGGGACATATTCAAAGCAACTAAGGTCTGCATGTTATAATCACAAGCGTATTAGAGTCCTGTCATGCGTATTTCGTCACATCATAAGAGAGCATGTGTTTAGTACATTTCCTCCTCTAAGGTGTGACTGGCTGCATACATGTGAATATTACATGAGCATGCACATACATAGACATTGAGCATCAGGGGGTGTTAATTTATTCAAATGAGCTGAACGGGGTATGAAGGGATGGGGCAGGAGGCAGAGGAGGTGCATGTAGGGAGGGACTCTTTTTAGTGGATGTTCAACGCTCCATTTTTACCTCTCATTTGTTTTTTTCCTGTTTGTAAATGAGCCTATTTGCATGGTTGAGAAGGCGCACCGCAGCAAGGTTGTGGAATAGACTGAAAACGAAAGCCATTGCAAAAAACAAGTGGAATTTTTATGTTATCTCAAATAAGAAGGATGCCCGCAGACAAAAACATACCATGCCAGTGCTATATCGCCATTTCCAAGATGGCTGCCACAGGAGGTGTCCTCTGTGGGACCAACCCAAAGACCCGATGTTCTTTTTTAACAGGGCGTGAGACTCAAATTCCTCTGTAAATGTCACAAGCCTGTCCAATATATAAAAAAGATGGTCAAATGTGATGGCTCTGTGCATGATTTGTGTTCATTATGCATGTTTTAATTTGAATAGAAGAAAATGGCAGAGGAGGGTACAGAGATAATGATCAGCGATATCTAGTGACACCCAGTGGTCACAATTAAAGATGTTATCATTAAAAGAGCACAATGCACCATTTGAGGGCTGCGGACACAGTTAGCACCTGTGGATCAGAGCAGTCAGCATTACCATATTCACACAATTTATAGACACACGAACACAGTAGAACACAGCAGTAGTTCATGTTACTGATAATGTTACTGAAGAAGAAGGGTCTTCATAATCACTTTTCTTATGCTTAAATACAATAGGTTGTGTTCAAGTGACATCACAATATTCTAAAATGCTCATGGGTAAAAAAGAGGGCTAGTCAGAATTTTATGGTGGTTTCTCCTGTTTAATGGCAAGTTTGCAGATTTGTTGGCCTAATTTAGGGGTAATATCTCTGTTTTTACCAGGCCTATCACTATAAATAAACTAAAGAGAAGTTCTATATTCACAATGGCTTCAGAAAGTAGTACCATTATTCAGCAGATTTTTGTCAGTTCGAAGCTATAAGATTAATACAGCAACTTTGTGGAGCCCATCCCCAATGTTGGAACTCATCTTTAATTGTAATGAATTAGAGTGACAACAGTCACATATATGGGGCTGAATAAGGTAATCACTTTCTGAAGCTAGTGTTAAGACATATTTTCACTGTTTGTGTCTGTGTAATCCCCATGTAATCTTTTGAGATGTACACTTTTGTTTACTTATGCTGAAAGCCAGTTTTTGTTTCATGTAGGTGGGCCTTGTAAGTGCAGATATATTAACCATAAAATAGGACAAGTTTTCAGCTCAATTTAAAATATTTTAGTCATCTATCAATGAGTTGCATCCACAACTTTCTATAACTTGATGTCAGAATAAAAAAAAAAAAAAAAAACTCTCTAATTTTTGACAGAGAAAGTGTTCACAAATTTGCCCTGTTAATCTTGGGTCTTAAAGTCTGAGAACAGCTGTGTTATGTATAATGCAACAAAGCATAGTTAACTTTTACACAAAGAAAGCATAAACTGTCAGGTTCTCGCTTTATGTGAATAGGCTTAATTATACAGCTATCAATATTAAACCAGGTTCAAACATCTGCATTACTGCCGTAGACTTTTGACCTGCCCTTGACGTCAGTATTAAACTATGGGCACTTGAGAATGTTGTGATGTCATCTGAATCCAACCGTCTAACTTTGTTGTTAGTAGCCTGGTTCATCATCACTTTTTCAAACTTTTATTGTCCCTGTCTCAAGCCCTTTGATGGATGTTTGACTGCTTGCTTGTGGATTGGGTTGTATTATGTGACCTCTGAAGTCCTAGACCTCGTTTAGTCCAGGTCCAGACCAGGGGTCTTATTTATGAAACCTGCGTCTGTACAAAACTATTACATATGTAACTTATAACAGAAAGTTTGTGATGAGTAACACATGTAGTGGAAATGAGGGGTCTACACTTTGTGTGTTGGTGCTTTCAAAGATAAGACAGAAGGCGATACATGTGCTGCCTGTGCCAGTTGGAGCAAGTTTGCGAATGTTGGTATTTTGTCCATGAAAGACATTTTTATGACAATTTCCGGTTAAGTTTTATAAATGAGCCCCCAGGTTTATTTCCACGTTTAAAACCAGTTAAGTGTGAGGGATCCTTTACTCTGGTCTACAAACTTTAAAGAACCGTTGTGATGGAAGACCTCTGATAAGATGTCAGGGGCTCACAAATGACTTTGAGACTTAAAATGCTTATGGGAACAGTTCTGCCCTGGCCCCTCACACCTGCCCCATGTGTTTGTGTACTACTCTGATGTTATCTGCTCAAGTGAACAGTGGAATACTTTGCTTCTCATGCTTACCTCAACAGTAACCTCTATGGAAATCGGCTGATGTGGACACTGAGGGGCCCGACCGGTAGAACTGCCTGCTTCAACTGCTGTGCGACGGTTTCAGTATTTCTCGCACAAATGTCTTGATCCTGAATGATAGAGAAAGCAAGAGGAGTGAGGGTGGGGGGTCCTTGGGAATGAGGCAGTCGACAGCTCCTGTCTCTGACTGTAACGACTTATTTATACAGGGATAATTAATCAGGCGCTGTTTTCTGGCGGTATGATTAATGCGCTTTGTCATTCTGCAGCGATGGTGCAAATACAGTGTGATGCCACGCTCAGATTTAGCTGTGTGGCTCTCACGTGATGGAGAAAGAGATCCCTAGTAAGGAGCAAAATGTAAATGTATCAAAACTATACTTTGGTTTAACATGAAAACGTCAACATATAGCCTAGAATATCATGAATAAGTAAGAAATGCACTGCTGTTTAATCAGCTAATGTAATATTCACACATTCTCACCAGTCGGGAAGTTGTATCTCCCATATGCGTCTAGCGATTGAAAACTACAGCGGAACAGGGGCCCCACATGTGGCCTATTTACCCAAGCGAACACGTGTGGGCCTCCCTTGTTCCAGCCTCTAGAGGTCTTATAGGGCTTATATTGCCATCTTGTGGAAAACGGATGTTAGTACAATTTAATTCGGGGCTGGCTCTCTGAGGTTCTTTGTGCTGAAAAAGGACTCCATAATATTTGCCGCTTGGTTAATTACATTAGGCTAATTTGAAGCCATATTTTTATTTAGCACGCTTTAGTTTGGATTCGTTTGAAGGTGCAAGAAATGTAGACGAGACAATGAACTGGACAGCACTCATACATGTTATTTTATTAATACAAAATCATCGTTTTACAAATGGTATTCGACAACATGGGATGCATCAGGTTTGGTGGGTTTGTTGCAGAAACATTTCAGTCTTCTTCGACAGGTTTTGGCTGTATGGTGACAGTAAAAAGGAAAGTTGGGTCATAAAAGATACTTTCTTATGTATTGTTGTAATAATTATAAATGACCAGTAGAGGTCATTATAAATCCATGTTTGGATCTAAATGTCACTTACTTTAGACTTGCCACAGTTGAGGAGCTTGTTTCCTTAACAAGAACATATATATGTTTATTTGTTAATACAAATAATAATACGTTAATACAAAATATTAACAAGTAAGAGAAACACAGTAGCAATAGCTACATTTAATAGTATTTTTGCTAAAATTCACAGTACTTGGTTACCTGCCAGTAAAATGATGGAAAGAAAGACTACAACTCCAGCAAACACCAGACCTCCAACTCGCAGAGTATGATAGTCTACAATAACGCACAGTATTAATACCAATATTGCACATGCTGACGTCCTTTATATGTATGTACTTGGTGTGTCTTAATGACAAAACACAACCATTCCATGAGACTGAATGAATACATCTCCAAAAACATTGACTTTATCCTAAAAGAGTCTCTTACCATACACAAAGTCTGCATCAGGGTCAATATCTGCACCTGTGAAGGCAAATATACAGTTCAAGACTTCAATAAAACCAGGGCCAAGAAGACTATAAATTTAATTTTTTATACAGTCTATGGGAAGGATAAAGAATTATGACTAATTGTGTTCTATTCATGGTAGTTTGCTGTTATAATTTTATGAACATTGTACACATGTTATAGGTCCAGCTGTTGCACACTTGACTGACCTTGAGGAGAGGACATGTTGCTCTGTTCACTGTGTTTTGGCTGTAAAACAGAAGAACAAAACCTAGTATGCAACGTCAAGAAACAAGAGTTGAGATAAATGTATATAATGTTATGTCAATGTTACTTTAAGTTGTTAATTTATATATTTTTATACTTAGCCCCAAAAAACAGATTATGAGTGCATTTGGATGCACTCATTAGGTGGCTTTTAAAGTTGTCACATTAAAAATTTAATTTGGGTCTTAAACAAAGATCAAGATCTGAAGCAGCTCAGGGTAATAGTAAAAGTCTGGGCAGTAACACTATATGCTACGTTGAGCACAAGACTTATTTTTCTCATCCTGTGACTGAGATTATGAAGTTGTATTTCTCTTTCATCTTATAATAGACCAGTATATTAAAGTATAAAACTCTATATGACTTGACATATAACTGACTGACTCTGAAATGATTTGTTTTGACATTATTAGTCCCACTGTCCACCATTCATCTTTTTTTTTTTTTTTTTCCTTTTTTTTGTGAAAACATTTTAACAGAAAAAATCTGTATGAGGTTAATTAAACATGCCATTAAAAAGTACTTTTGGGAAAATTACTTTTTAGGATTCCAATATCTTGTGAGCATAGACCATAATAGACTACAGTTACTCATTGATCATAAAACTCCAGCACTTATTAACCTTGGACCTTGAATACTCCAGAGGTTAAGTATAAGACATGGCATTTCTTTTTTTTTTTTCCTTTAAAGTGCAAGCACAAAGACTTTAATCAAGTGTTTAATCAAGAAAAGCAAATATAGAAATGGGAATTCCTTATGCTGTATGCATGGGCTTGTTGTAAGTCATATTCACATACAACTCCTCCACTATAGGAATAAATAACACAATTAAGATATTCTCTAACACTTTGATTATCTGACATGGACTGCTAATTAAAAGTGGATTTGTCCCTAGATCAGTGCAACATGCTAGAAAGGTGTTACTTTTTATTTTCCTTCAGCAGCTAAGTAATGCACTTTTTGATCAAATATTGTACTGTACATTATAGTAATACAAAAATGTATAAGCAATTTTCTGTATTTTAACACAGAAAGAAACAAATGTAACAAATTACAAGTGACCTCTAACTCCCTTTACACCATTCCATAAAAAAAAAAAAAATTTTAAAGATTGAAATTTGAGCCACAGTCAAAGCAGATATAACAACACAAATGGCTGAAAACGTAATAGTTTCAACTCACCTGGACTCCTAAAAGCTCCTGTTTCTTATAAGTGTGACTTTGCAATATGGTGAGTGTGAGTGTGCCCTGGGATCCACCCTCCCTCTCAGCCACGCTTCAGTGTCTTCAATCACTGTTGTTCTCTGTTCCTTGTTACACATTTACAGTGTCATGAAATTCCTTATAAGAGCTGACATTTTCACCTCTGGAGCAACTCTTTTGACCTTGGTCTATGTTCTCTGTCTGGATGGAAGGTCCTTTTCAAATACAGAGAGTCCATTTGTTGGTGGAGATATACTTTTGAAAGCTTGTAAGTAAAATTATGGAATGATCTGGAAGTAATGGTACAGGCCCAGATGCACAGTAAATGTCTGCTTCTCTAGTTCCAAGGAAATGCCCACCATATTTTCACATTTAGACTTTATTTATGTCAAAAGCAAAATCTCTGATACATTTTCACAAATCAAAGCAAATCTGCTGAAATCAAAAGATTTACAGTTACTCTGAAAATATTTCATACATTTTTACTTGGCTTTAATCAATCTATTTTTAATGGAACATAATGTTGACTGATGTTTTGCTTCTTAAATACATAAAAATAGTGGATAAGAGTGATGACAGATTTTGGCTCTGTTTGGAATGCTAATTACAATGTTTTCTGGACAAGCTAATCCAGAGATGGAGCAATGCTGCTGTGTGGTGAGAGGAAGGCAGTGAGACAGCTCTTTATTATAGTATTACTGAGGAGACAACTGCAAATCATCCCAGTGCTCCATCAGAGCAGTGGCAATACAGATGGTCTCATATGAGGTTGTATATGGGCCCAGAAACATCAAACAACATGTACTGTTTATTTAGAACCTTTGTGCCCCTGTTCTCTTGTGGAACCCAATTTATTCTCAATTTTGTCCCACTTGTTTTTGAATAATTATATGACTATGTGTTGACTGCAATTATGTTGTGTTAATTAAACTATTGTAATTAGCATGAAAACTACACAACTTGGAACTGAATGTCAAAAACAGCATTATCATGCAAATGTCCATAGAGAGGCATATAGCCAAAACAATATAAGAAAAGTACAGACAAGAGCCTTGGACCAACTCGCTAAACCAGGGATTTTCAACCTTTTTTTACTGAAGGCCACTGTTTATCAAAACAGTAAATTCAGATGACTGCATGTTGACATAACTTTCACAGAGCCACTGTACTTTTAATACACATTATTGTAGATCTGTTTCTTCTCCATGCAATATTTGTTATTGAAGTTTAGATAGCAGAAGTATTTAAAATCGCATTTGGCACATGGGTCAATTTTGTCAGCCCTGCCATAAGCTATTAAGTAAATACATTTACCATACAAATGAATTCAAATGAATGCTAAGTTAAAGATGCACAATGCAAACTTTCTAGGTGGAGGTCTGTCTCTTGCTTGTCTCCATGGAAATTGTATTGCTGTTTCACTGCATATGGCATTAAACTTTTTTTAATCTTGCAATTAGTTTAATAATATGATATGAAACATTTTAGGTAAACAAGGAGACAAGCTGACCCACATATGAGTCGTGACTCACAAGTACAGTATGCCATTTGAGATCCTTCTTACTGAAAACGTAACAGGAAGAGAGGTGATTGTTTTACTCTATATAATGTCTATATGCTTCTATATATCTCTCTACATAAATCTTTAATGCATATTTAATGTAACAAGTAATTCAAGTCAGTAACATGACAACATTGGCTTTTAAAGACAGATTAGACCCAAGTGTTATACAAGGCACAGACAAGGAGCACTAAGACACTGAACAGAACATAAACTAATGTTCCAGATTATAAATCAGCCCCCATGCTATATAATATCTCACAAACACAGTAATCATGTATATTGTGAGTGTGAATAGTGTCTTAATGAGTGTGGCAGGTGATCCTGAGGCTGGCCTGGTCCGAAGAGGTTAGTTCCCTTCTTCTGCTTTGGCCGCTGCTGCAGCTGGACAAACAACAACAGCATCATCATCATTAATCATTCAGCAGATAAATAATATGCAGCCTTAGTAATGTCTGGCTCTCAGTGGGCTTCAGGTAAGGACCATTGTCATGCAATTCACTTTTTCAAAATATGTTATGCTTTGAATAGGTATCAGCCCTCAGACCTCAGATCACTGAGTAGTGATGTGAAGTGGATTCAAACTACCAAATTCAGAAGTCATGATCATGGCTGTTTTTGCATTAATACAGCTGCAGCATGAAGACTGAACCCGAATGAGAACATGGAAACAAATGACACTACTTAATTAATACCCCTTAATTCAATAGTAACTAAACTAAACCTAAACAATTTGTTCATTATTCATTTATTGTTTGTTCAAGTTTTGTTAAAGGTGGCGTTCTAAGTTGATTCGCTTTTTTTGACCAGTAGATTGCAAATGTGAAACCTGTTCCCCCTTCCTTGGCCATGGACCAGACTCGTCTGTGGTACACTATCAGACAACAGCTACCGTAGATAGCATCTTGTGGTGAGAACACAACTGGGCCAGGTCAGGCCAGTCTAATTACAGATGGTAGCTTTAAGGCTAGTAAAAGTGTAGGTATTAGAAAAGCAACTTTTCTTACACTTAGAGGCAATCATGGTTTCCTCTTGTGCCTCCTCATCCCCAGATGTCCTAAATGAACAAGAACATGAAGGCCTATGAAAAATATGATCTAATGTATTTTAATGAAATTCTGAAGCTCGTCACAGTTCATTTAAATGAAGATGTTTACTACTTGAAATATACCTTGTTTTTTTGTTAGCTCCACAGCGGCACCGTCGACCTGAAAGCATGAGAGGGCATTAGTATCATACTAACTCAGGAGCATTAACATACAAGTAAAGAAAATTCATCTCACTGAGAATGAGAAGTATTCCCAATGTGAACAACACCACAGCCAGCGACAGCCCACCGATCCTCAGGGTGTAATAGTCTAGAGAACAACATTAAATCCGTACAAAAACAATAAATAATACACGCTTCTCATCTGCTGTAACTTTATGGCACAGACATTCTTATGGAACAGTTACCATAGCTAAATGGGTCTTTATCTCTTTTCTCTTCATCTGAAAATGACAACAAAAAGTCAATCAGAATTTATAACATACAATAAATTGGCATTGGGGTGAACAACACACTTATGTTTGATACTAGAGGTTCATAAAATGCATGTGATATAATTTCAGGAGGATCAGTAACAATAATAGACTAAAATTATTTTGTTTTTGAACAATACAGTGCATCACTGACACCAAACTGATAACTAATTGGATTGCAGCAGAATGTCAACACTCACCAGGGACACTGGAGTCTGAAGTGGCTGTGAAGGAAAAATGATAGATTTTTTCATAATTTAATTTTAGTGTCAAGTTTACATCATGTAAATATCATGTATGGTATTAGGAGAACTGCTGAATATGTGGCGACATGAATTTTGTGATGGGTTGTTCACAACACTGCCTCCTTGTGGATTGATGAAGTACATGTTCATGTGTTGGGACATGTTTTGTGCGTAGTGGGGTACTCACCAAATACAGACACCAATAGGGAAGACAGAAACAGCATACTCATTTCCATGGCAACTGTTAAAAAGACAGTAAATAAAAATAGATAAAACCTTTGGAAATGTTTGCTTATTTTTATATAATATCATAAAGCTGTTTGGCAGCACAGACAGCCTTGGAATCTAGCAGTGAATCCACAGGGAGCAGTCTTCATCTTGCATAACGATGTGTGTTCACCGCCTGCATGCATGTTCCCCTTTTCTTGACAAAGATTACTCCCTCCCAACGGACATCACACAACCTTGGCCCATTTTCATGTAGGCAGATTGAGCACAGCATAAACCAACTGAGTTTCTAAATAAAGATATGATATTAGAAATGCACACATTTTGCAGGTACCACTGCACAGCTTACACTTTTCTTATTATCTTAACCATGTAGCAGACTTTAAATTCTTGCTTATTTGTAATCTGATTGAGTTTAAAAAATTATGACTTTTACCATAATGTTTACTCATTTATTTGACAACACAGTTCACAGTTCAATAGATTTTAAATAGGTGAACTGATTACGATTGCAGGACACAATGCTTAAGGAAAAAACAAACTAAGGTGATGATAAGAGATGGAGGTGCCCTGAAATAACTTTTCTAGATCTAGGTCCACAATAATAAGCAGTCATCTAGGCCTAGGTATTTCAGCTCCCTACATTATGGTACTAAATACAATCTGTTTGCCAGTGCCTCCGTCCATTTGGAGGTTTTTGCAGAGATGGACCACATGAGTGCCTTAATCTGATTTGCTGCTCATCTGCCTCCATCAGTTTGAGTGATACAGAACATAAAGCTCATAATGAATCATAATGGGGAATCATCTCAAACCAGACAAATCTGATTTCACCAGAAACATCTTGTATGTTAAAAAATATTACTATTAAGATCAATTATATGATTGCAATTGCAAATTTAGGTTATTATGGAAGTACCACACTGCACTGGTTTTATTTATTTTTTCTTTTGTTTGCTTGTTTTTGTTTTACATTTGAAATTATTCACAATAAATAAGAAAGTAATTGCAGGTTCTCTGTGACACACTTACAGACCAAAATGGAAGACACAACATTGTCATTTTATAGGAAACCTTCAACTCGGCACATGTTATTTCTATCACTTTTTGGTATAAATCTTGTCATTTACGACAAATGCAGTGCTTATTTACTATGTAATTGCATATCTAATAATTTATCTCAACTAATCTGGACCGAGTTGGAGTAACTATTAAAATCAGTCAGTGCTCCAGAACAACGGATGCAGACCTACTCATCCATCTGTTAGTGTGCCTTTATTTGGAATAAAGACCGTTGTGAAAGGTCTCACTGTACTAGTATGCTTCACTATTCACAATCAGCCCAGTACCTGAGAAGATCTAGTTCACATACCACATGTCCATTTCCTTTCTAAATAAGAGAATGCAAAAGTGATTCAAGAGACCAGTGGTGATGGTAGCAAAATAGCAGGAAGGATGTTTCTACAAACAAGGAAACAATAAAAATAAACAAATAAACAAAGCATCTGAGAAAGAGAAAAAACATATAGACTTCGGTTAGTTTATCCATATTGACAAAATTGTTGACATAAAAAAAGAACAAACTTTATCTAAGCCAGAAACATAACAAACATTACAACGAAAGTAAGCTATGTCACGTAGCAAATTGAGCAGTATAAAAGTATCGTGGTTAATATTTACATGACATCAACCTCTATGGGCTAAAGGACGCTTAGTATCCACGTATTTCCATAGTAACGCACGGCCGACCAATGGCAGCTCGTGGAGGAGAGCTGGAAGCACAGCCACGAACCACAGGGGTGTGGCGCTCCCGGAAAGTCGGTCAGGATTAGCAGGAGGAAATACAGCGCTTTTCCATTTAAACAGCTCACATTGACACAAGTAAACACATCAGATAACAGTCTAATATATAATTCTATAATATATCTCGTGGAAAAACATATCTCGTCAAAAACAGTCCATTCCACGAGCACCATACATGTCACGCACGCTGTTATTGTTGTCTAAAATGTCAGTTGATGGCACCAATTGATTTTCCCATAGTGTCTAGACTGGACTACAACCTGTAGATTACTTTATCACCAGTGGTGACACAGTCCTAAATACTACTCCAAGTTTGGAAAAACAACCAACGTTACAACACGTAAACCTGGACTGAACAGATGAATATTCATCTAACTGTCGGCCTACTACATTCTATAAACTATTTAGCTACACGTTTAGAGATCTGAAGATTTGTTGTACGATTTAATAGACTTACCTCTTGTTTTGTTTTAGATGTAGACTACAAAAGATGTTCAAAAACTACCAAAAACTATTAGCGTTTTTTCTTCCAAACGGTTGTTGTAATATTTAATAATGTGTCAACATATGCACATTGTCCAGGTTCTAAAAGCAGCAGATCAAACGAATAAACTCCCCGGAGTTGAATGTTCAGTGGCTAAACCGCTCTGACGCGCGCGTACGCAACAACACCGACGTTCATAGTTGGCTGCTCCTGTTTACGCGCCCGTAGTCTTGCCCTGACTGTCTGTGATGTGATGACCCTGTAGAATAGCTTTTCTACTAAACTAGCCATTTCTGGTGTGCAGCGCCACAGCTCTTTATCACTCCAGCGTTTTCATGGGGCCACCTGTAATAATCCACGCTCTATTCACAATGTAGTGTTTTTTTCTCTCAGACTTTAAATATTAGGACTGTTGTCTGTAGATTTAAAACATAATATATTATTAAGTTCATTTCAGTTCATTACCAGTTTAATATTATTTTATGTGGTCATGACAACCACTGACTATAGCCAAAATGTGCTGACTTTTGTGTTTATGTGATCAGTTTATTGAAATACACTTAATAAAAGTGCAGATAAATAGAAAAAAAACATAAAATTACAAGACTTTCAAGAAACCATTCACAGTATGAAACATGAGGTTTAGGTGCATATATTCCCTAAAATTAGGAACAATTAACTGACTGACCTAAGGGTCACACCTCTTTATTTCACTCTGAAGTAAAATGTCCCTTTTAATGTAAAATAAAGTAGTGACGTTGGATTTGCTTGTTAACAATAGAATAGTTCCTGCCACATTTAAAGCCTGCTTTAAATTATACATTCAGAATTTAGAGTTAGGCAGAAAAAGCTCTATAATATACAATCACATGTAAAAATGTCAGTGCTTTGATGAATGTGTACTAAAAGGTACACAATCAAAGTAACACAATTAGATAAATGATAACAACTGTATGATGATATAATCTGACTTGATTTGATCTGAAACAAGAAAATTCCAAGAAGAAGTACAGTATACGCAGTTCCCATATAGTATATTGAGCTTTTAGAGCAGATGGGGCAACTCCATGGGTCATGACTTCTGTTGCTGTAATTCAAAACAAGGCAAATTAGAAAAATCACATCTCATATGTTATGTTTTAATGACATGAGTATTTGTCTCTTACCATCATCTTGCTGTAGATCCATGGAAGAGCACTGGTCACTTTTGTATAGACACCAGGTCTATTCGCTTCACCACAACCTGATCCCCAACTTGTAATTCCAGCCAAGGTCCAAAGCCCATTATTTTTGCAGACCAAAGGTCCACCACTGTCGCCCTGGGGGGGTGGACATTTCTTACAGTCTCATCACTCTATATGGTACAGCCTAAGTTAATTTGAGCTGCTTACCTGACAGGAGTCTTTGCCCCCACCCAGATGCCCAGCACACAGCATGTTCTTAGTGACACTTCCGCCATAGGAGGAAGGGGTGTTGCACACTTCAGTGTCAATGATCTTCACACTCACATCCCTTAACTTATTTGAGACAGAACCTGTTGAGATACACACATTTTGTTATAAAACATTTATGTACTAGCTACTCCTGTATATTTGTTATACTTTTTCAAACAGGCATAAAACAGGCAAACAGACATACTTGATCCTGCATCAGTAGTGCCAAACCCTGAGGTAATGCAATCAGTTCCATGGGCCCACTGTTGATCATAGGTGGGCAGACATGCCGGGTGAACTGTGTCTGCAAGATTTAGACACACAACTCACATGAACACTTTTATAATGATATAGCCAATATTCGGCATGAAGTAAATCTGGTAAATCCTTATATAAATATAATGTTAGTAAGGCAGCTGAGACTGACCACTGAATTCCACAGGAGTTGCGAGTTTGAGCAGAGCAATGTCCTGATCATTGGTGTTGCTGTCATAGTTCTCACTGAGAATAATCACTGCCACTTGATGTGGTTGTGGAAGTTTATCCAGAGTCACCACTCCAGCGTAGACTGCCCAGTTGGTAGCAATTTGACTGAACTCGTCAGTACTGCAATAATCCACAAATTAGACAAATGTTCATGTAATCAATCATAATATTATAATATAATATAAATATAAAGTATAAATGTCTCTTTACCTTGGGAAACAATGTGCAGCGGTCAACACAAAAATCTCAGAAATCAGAACTCCTCCACAAACATGTGAGCCTTTATAATGCAGCGTGACCTGCCAGGGCCACTCGCCTGATTCAGACACTTGCCCGCCTATGATCCGTGAGACTGAAGACTGCCGACCGCAGTCTAAAAACAGTCACCAAAACCCAAGAATTATTTATTAATAATAAGTATTTGGAAACTTAGCATGAGTAGGAGTCTTTTACCTTGACACTGCAGGGAGACAGCCAGTTGGTCAGGACATGAGGAACTAGTGACAGAAATGGCACAATCGGAAATGAGTACAACAAGATTCACAGTTTTGTCATAAACAGGAACATAATAATAAAAACACATACGTGACACTGGCCAGTCCCTGGATATACCCACTGGAGTCCTGTTTGGCCATTGTAAGTGCCTTTGAAGTGTATCCTGATAGTGCTGTGGTCTCATAAGAGCTGAAATAAAAACACACATTTTAATATAGGCTTTGCCAATTGTAAAATAAACAACACATGCCCAAATGCTAAAATAGGCATTTACCTTACAAAGCCAAGCTGGGCACATGTCTGATCAGAATACAATTTCTTCCAGTTACTGGCGCACACAGGCAAGAAACGGCCATCCTCTGCTGTTCTGACCTCAAGTGTGTTGCCAGAACCAAATCTCACTGAAACAATGTTAAAATAAAAACAGAGTAAGATGTGCTGAGCAAAGTATAACTTAAGTATAAGAAATGTTTAATTAAAATTGTCATAATGGTTCTTAATACCTAACCACATATTTTTTTTACTCACCACATACTGATTCATCAGTGCCAAAAACACAGTCCTTTATGCCATCACAGTGGATAGTAGTGTTGGGGCAAGTGTCATGCTTTTGTTGATAGACAGAATCATCATCATATTGATCAGAATGCCCAGAGTCATTGTCTTCTGTATGGTAGTATATTGATCCTATCCTAGTTCCATACCGTACTGCAATTGGCAAAAAGTTTAAGTTGAGACAAAAATGTAAGGCGCCATGACTACTGAGAAGCAAACCTGTGATGTCTAAAATATGAAGTTTATTTTGTCAACATGACCAGTTAGAGAAGAAGTTAGAGACATCTAGTGGTAGTGTGGTAGTATAACTGCTGCAATTTAAGACTTCAAATCAAGACTTCAAAAACAGAATCAGAATCCAACAGCAACTGCAATAATGTTTAGTGAAAGTGTCAAGTGTACAGGAACCAATGGCAACATCAACACGGCACAAAACAAGCTCTACACTTTAAATAATGGTTTGCGTATCATCTGTATGTTTATTCTAATTGTACCTCCAAGCCATATGGCTAGTGCCAGGAGACCAAGCACCAGAAGGACTCCCCCTGTTCCACCGTAACACTGTGCATTGTTCCTGCAACAACGGCTTCTTCTTTTGGGAGCTAAGCAGAAAAAAACAAGTTTAAACTATAATTGCACTTTATGGGTGTCTTTCATAAGAATAAGTACTTACGTAATGGTTGTGACTTGAGGCACAACCACGACAGATGGATACTGTGGTATGTAGCGAGGCTGAGAGGGGGGGGTCAGGCCATACACTTTGAGGGGGGGCTGGGGATACAGTGATGCAGAGTAGTAAGGAGGAGGGGGCTCATTCTGAAAGACACAAGATACAGGACAAATTCATGAAAAAATTAATATCACTTTCTTGTTCTTGCACTTTCTCTTGGAAAGAGGACACCAAGTAACACCACAGCAATTCATGTACAATACATGATTTACCAGTGGCTGGTTTTAGCTGACATTTCTGATAGTTTTTATTCCAATAATTCTGCCCGGAACAAACATGCAGACTTTTTGTCCCATTTTTACTGGAAGGTCAAGGAAGCAAAACTTCCTTATTTATAAATGACAGCAAACATTGTTAAGGGATTAAATTAGATTAGATGGTATGTTAAAACTTGATTGATCACATTGTACACTACTGAGCTAATACCTATCATTTGTAAAATTGCAGCTGAAAAGTTATGCACCCAAACTGGTTTGTGTCAACAAGCAAAAAAAGTTTTGAAAGAAATTTCCTTATAGCACTAGACCTTTTGTTCTCAGGTTTATTTTGTATTTATTAATGACCTCTGTATACTACATTAGACAACATTAGAAAGGTGTATATTATCTATTGTGAATAGTTCATTTATATTAACCTATTATTTTTGGACAGAGCTTTGGGTAATATAATTTTGGTGATAACAATAACTGACATATGACACTTTTGACCCTTCTTCAAATAAGAAAAAAAAAGTGAAGAGAAAATCCATTGTCCAAAACAAAAGGAATTTATCTGTTGGGATGGTATAGAAAAGTCTAAAGCTTTTTCACACTATCTAGATCTCCTTTCAGAATAAGCCCATAGGCAACCTCCACCCTCTGCTCTGCATTTAACATAGGTATAGTTCATATAGATCGTATTTCCCTGTAGAATGCATTTGGATTACTTTTCACAGTCTGCCTGTCAGCCACGATAATGGAAATCTACTGTAAAATTAAGAGGTTATATGACATTCGAAAGGTCAATTGGTATTGTCATATAAAATTACAATTAAAGTGGAAAAAAAAATCAAAAAGTTTCTTAATTTTTAGCTAAATATCTATTTTTTCACTGATAAAAAATGCAACTTAACATATCAACCAATATATACTTGGATGTCTGTTTAGTTAATGCTATGTATACTCTTGACTTGACAAAAATAGGTCAGTAAACATAATGGATTTTACAGCAACATAATTGATTATAGGAAGAAAAGGAAAGTAAAAGGTGATTTTGAAGGAAAAAAAATGTATCTCCGAGAAATCTTACCGGGTCATGCTTTGCCATTGGACTGGACAGCACTGGAACACAGGAGAGTGGAGTGTGGAGCAGTAGGTTTGCAGTCCAGTTTATTTAGGCCTGATCAGAAGCTGGGTCATACTGGCACCATATTTGGCACCTCACCACTCTTCTATCTCTTGCCCTCTCTGCTCACTAAGTCACCCAAGTCAAGCATCAACAGGTGAATCTTACCCCCTCCCCCTTTACCAATAAATACCTCCCCCTCCATCCCCCTTCTCTTCTCCATTCTTCATTCTTCTCCTCACAGTGACGGGTGTGTCTTGTGCACTAGTTTCCACTCTGTCTGACCGGTTCCACAACAGCCAATAAACGCTGCAGGTTAGTCGCATCTCACCACAAGGATTCAGATAACACCAGCTGGGCTCCTTGGGGCCTGGCCTAGACAAATATAGCCGACCAGAAAGAGAAACAAAAAAAATTATATTGTTCTCAAGGCGTGTATCTAAAACATTAAAACAAACAACATTAATCCCATAACCCAGTTGCAATAAAAGAAGCATCTCAAGCATATGACAGGAGTGGTTTAGATATAATTACTAAGATATTTCTTTTTGAGTTTCTAGGTTAATTGGGTTAATTATATGTTCAAGAAATTAGATCATGTCCTTAAAAAAAGTAATGCAAATGAAATACATACAATTTGATGCAAAAATCTAAGCAATTAATATGGAACAAAACTGTAAATAAATTTGCACCATGTATGATGTATAGACGTATGCACATAAATATGATGCAAATGCCTCACCTTGATTGTTGCCTAACGTTTTTAGCTCCTTACCAGCAATATTATTAGATACCTGAAATGGAAATACAAACTTTGTATTTGTCCTGAAGAAAGTGAATTAAGAGCTAAAAGAAGTTAATTGATTAATCGCAGCTAAGTGATTGTACTGTATTCTTAGTAACCAAATAATTTTTATTTGGATAATGCACAGACAGAGGTTTTATGACTCAGACAGAGCAGAATTACACCAAAATAACACTGCAAATGTGGAAAATGTTAACAAACTATTTATTTTATTTTATTTTATTTTATAATTTTTGTTTTTGGTCTGTACGTAGGCCTGTTGGTAGTTTTTCAGATTGTAGAATGTGATGATGTGATACCCTCAGATGGGGGCAAGGGCCAGATTTCCCTTTTGATTTTATTGTACTTTACCATGAAATATCCAAAAGATTAAGTCTGAACCTGAACCTGGAATTTTCAATTATAGACTAAACCCAATAATTCACTGTATTACAACATAATTCAGCATTTTGACAATATTAACTTTAACTGCCCCCATCTATATTATTTAATATTAGAATTTTATTTTAAGTCTTAAACCAAATCATATCTTTTTTCTGAATTAAATTTAGTACAAATCTCATATACATGGTTCTTTCACAATCTAACAATTAACAGTTAAGCAAAAGAATAACTATAAATAAAGCACTAAATACAACATAAAAAGTAATCAGATGGAAATTGTTTATGGACTTTTAAAAATTATGTGGCAGTTAATTGGAAATGTTAGAATATTATTTGCTATTATCTTTCAATTTCCAGAACATTTGAGTGTATAAATGCTAACTGACGCTGAGATACACAACCAATGGAAAGTTCTACACTCTCACACTCACGCTCTCACTTCCTGTATCTATTTGATCTTTAAGTCTCCGCTAGAGGGCAATGCTGTGCATATGGTTTTCATTTTTAGAAAGAAAGGTTTTCTCTGAGGACTTTCCTTCAAATGACCCAGATTACCACAGGTTAATCAGCTGTTTGTCTGAAAGACAGAAACCAAAAGCGACAGAAATGAAGTGAATTGGCCTATTTAGGGGGAACCAAAACTTTGGAGGGTCATGCATAAAATGTGACTAGACAGAAGATCTAAAACCACATGTGGGACAAAGTGTGCACTGTTGAAAGTACTGGGAGAACACATACTCATGACATGATGACAAGAAAGAAGATAACAGATAACACATGGACATAAATGGGAAATGACAAACAGTGTTTTTCACAGAAGCTCTTTCAATCTGACTTCACTCACATGAAAGGTCAGGCTAATAAAATGACCAGTATTAGTGTACTGGGTAGCACTCTAATATATATATATATATATATATATATATATATATATATATATATATATATATATATATATATATATATATATATATATATATATATATATATATATATATATATATATATATATATTAATTAGATTAGATGTACCTTATCTTTACTACTAACCAGTGAATTTTGAACTTGGAAGTTCTCTGCATTTTAGTGCAAGAGAAATGCTTTGAATGTCATGTTCCTTTTTAAATAAAAGCTACATTCCAATAGCAAGTTTTCATACGTCATGAACTTTGTGTGTGGTGACGATGGGGGGAAAACACAAAAGAGGAAGAGAGAGCTATAAGACTGAGCAACACTTAACTACACGTCACTGACAGGAAACACACCAAGGTATGGGGGAGGAGAGCAGAAGAGACAGAAAGTAATGCTGATGGGTGTAGTTTATGATATCAAAAAACAGTAAGACATGAAAGTATCTTCTTTGTGGATTAATGATACTTAGAACCATAGTCTACAAGCAGATGTAGGACTTTCTTTATGGAATAATGTTCTAACACAGTCTATCACTACAGAAAGGGGGAAAAAAATGGATAGCAACAAGACGCCCATCCAGATCTTCTTCATAGTGGTCTTTGTGAGCTGTGTTGCAGGTAGACATTTTTTTATTTGGTTGATTTTAGTACTTTTAAGGTACTTTAAACTTCTTTTTTAATGCAGTTATGTGTATTTGATATGATGTGTGCAGTAGTGGTGTATTACCCAGATTAAAATATTGTATACCGCTAATATACATGCTTGTCAACTTGTCAGTGTAAGGCCAACAGGGATTGTTGTGGCCTTTTGATGGAACTTTTTAATTATTAAAACCTGGCCTTAAATCAAGAGCATTTTCTCAACATCAGCTACTTTTCCTGACTTCCTATTTTCATGGAAAGCCTTACTGTATTGTTTCCAGTGTATGGGATGGGATACAAGATTTAAACTAAGCATTTTTTCCATAAACTAAAATATCATTCAAACAACACAATTTGTCAACAGGTCAAAGATTGCCTTCACCAGTGAACCTCCAAGTGAATATTTTGGATGGAGAGGTGATTGCACACTGGGATAAACCTACAGGCGCCCCTTCAGATGTGCGGTACAATGTTCAGTTTGGAAGGTAAGCTTGACAACACATAAAAAACAGTCATTAACAAATATAAACTAAACTATATTTGAAACCACGTAGTAATTTTCACTGATGTTGTTCTTTAGGCACGCAGGAGAATGGACAAAGGTCAACAAGTGTACAAACATAACTGAGATGTTCTGTGACCTAAGTCACCGGATAGAAGAATACACAGGGATCTACAAAGTTCGAGTGCAGCTGGAGGCCGGCGGCGCCCAGTCTGAATGGACACACAAAAAGAAAATCAATCCTACTTCAAGTAAGATTAATTTGACATTTTTATATATTTTATGAGAGTTCTAAGTATTATTAAGTATTAATAAGTATATATATATATATATATATGTATATATATATATATATATATATATATATATATATATATATATATATATATATATACACACACACACACACATATATATATTTATTTATTTATTTTTATTTTTTTTTACAGCTGAACTGCAGCCCCCCTCTTTCACTATGTGGGCTACTTCGAGCACTCTTACCATACATATTCACCAGAAGCCTATTTTAAGAAAACTTTTCCTTTATGGAATAACCTATACAATCTATCTGGTGGAGACGGAGCAAAATAAGGTAAAACAAAAAACTCACAAAACACAAGACTGCTGAATTATTATTATTATTATTTTTATTATTATTATTATTATTATTATTATTATTATTTATTTATTTTTATTATTATTATTATTTTTTTTTACAAATTTAACATTATGTCTTATCTCTTCAATACAGAATACAACTGCATATCTCAAAGACGATATCTGGGACCACCAGAGGAAAAAAGAGTTCAGCTCTTTACGGTGGGGCAAAGAATACTGTATCACTATCAAAGTAGAGGGAAATGGTGGACTGGCCAGCAGCCTGTCACATCCACAATGTGTTACATTACCAGACCAAGGTAAAACATGTTGTCTCCTCTCTCCTCATGTGAAACATTTGTGGGTGTATACTAACAGTCATTGTTATTTTACAGAATGGATTATAACTGCAATTGTTGCACTTACTATTATGGGCGCTCTGATCATAGTTGCATTTATCTCCTCATTGATTCTGTGTTATGTGAAACAGCCAGTGAAGACACCTACTGCTCTTGTGAGTACAAAGCAAAACTTGTATTGTTTAAAATTACAAAACAGAGAATCAATCACTTGTAACTGCTGAAAGCCTCTGATGCTTTATTTACAGTATGCTCTACCTCTTTTTCAGAAATCCCCTGCTTGCGGGTGGCGTCCACTGTCCATTGGAGAGTGCACTATGGAAGTTGTTACAGACAAGGGTTGGTTCCTGTCCAGTGCGGGAACAGAAGTGAAACATGGCTTCAAAAATCTGCCTAAAACTTATATCAGCGACCAGAAAAATGGTGAAGAGGACAGGAGGTCGAGCACAGACAGTGGAGTCAGCATCAAGTCCACCTCTGACAATACCACACAAGAAGACAGTGGGTGTGGCAGCATAGGGCTACAAGATACTATTTGCAATTACCCTCAAGATGAAGGAAGTGATACTCTCAGTAAGGCAGAAGACAGTGGGATGGGACTAAACTGCCACTCAGATGCCTCTTCACTAAATCTAGAAGATCAAGACAGTGGATGTCTGAACAAATCTGGAGAATATCATAAACAACACCTGTTAACTGTAAACATTCATGACTGTGACAATGAAGACATCTTTAAGGAAACACTTCCACAAACACAACTCATCAGTGTGGTGTCAGGGTACAGGAAAAACACTTCAATTTGTACCTGTTCTGGGGCCAATCTGTGTATATGGTGCCATAATCAAGACAGTTACAGAGGACAATATAAAGGATTACATAAACATAACATGGTGGAGTCATATGGACATTCCACTCCTAAAGCTCAAACGGACATAGTGGACAAAAAAAGAACAAATATGACTTTAGTACAAATGGAGGAGACTTTCCCCATGTTGACCTCTCTATCATCCTTCCCTCTATTGCAAAAGGGACGGGACTTTAACATGAATGATGTGTCAGTCTCTTTGTGTGATGTAGAGTTCAACCACCACTGATGTCACATGGAGATCTCAGGCCTGATTATCAGTATTCACTGTCTCTATGAGTACAGGCTGATTTTCCAGTGTTAATCATAAAGACTGAGTTAGTTTGTGGGGAGAGGAAGGAAGCTGAGTTTTTTTTAATACCAAAGAGGTGCGGTTGACTTCACTTTACCTTGCTGCACCTTGTATCTCTGACTTTATTCACAACTGACAGTTAACACCGGAAGTGAAACTGTTGTGGAGCAATATGCAGGGAAACTGTGTTGGGCTTACGTGCTTTAGGACATTTTAACATTTCATTCTGCCTCTCATCTGCCACCCACACAAACTGAGAACATATCATACTTTATTATGCCGTATTACTTCCTACTTGTCTGTGACTGGTTCTGTTATAAGTGATTATTTATATTTTATTTATGCCATGAACAATAAAATTATAAACATTTTGGAAAAGTTTTCATGCAAACACAAATAAGGAATTTGTTGCTGTTAGCAGGTGACAGATAAAATATCAGTATGCACACGGGAACCCCATATGCAAATACTGAACAAGAAACACAGTGTTGGTTTCATACAAAAAAGCACTTCCACTGCACAACTTCCTCATAAAAAAAACATCTCTTAATAAAAATAACTGACTTCTTATGTCAGAATTTATGCAACACTGATTACAATTTTCATAACATTAGTGCAGGAGTTTTGAGAACAGTCCGTTAAAAAGGAAAGTGATATAATGAAGCTAAACTTAGTAGATACCATGATGTGGGGGATTCCACTTTACAGATGCAAAATTATATTATTTAAGCATGATTAAAGCACAACATACACCTTATACTTTAATAGTCATATTGGTTACACAACTATTGCTGCTAGTAATACTGCTTTTGTTCTTAACACCATACAGTATCTACTGTAACTAAGGGAAATTGTAAAAATGTCACTAATTTTGTTTCTGCAACTGCTGTTTCCTGTTTGATGTGTATACCTATATTTTATGATAGGAAGTCAACAAAAATATACATGATACATAATATATCATCGTAGTATATTTATAAAATTTTTGTGTTCAAATACATATATCCAACATCCAATAATGTTACAATATTTGTTACAATATTTACAAATTGCCATCTATTTTGGGGCCATGCTTTCATGAAAATTGTATCCAAAAAGAGAATTACAATCTAATTTTGTCATTTACAATAAACAGCAGCAATGAAAAGAAACAAAGTTGTGCAAAACAAGAAATGTGTTAAGTGGGAAGGTGACAGACCAGTCTTTTCAGTTTCTATATCATGTTCACCACAGCCAGTTGCTTCTATTGTTTGATATAGCTACTGATTGAGAAAGGGGACGGAGACTTCTTTACTCCCATTTTGCTGTAAGACATCAGATTTGTGAATTAGCTTTGTTTTGCATAATAATAATAATCATAACATGACAGAATAAGTTATAGCCATACTTACGTGAGCACTCTGTCTTTTAGTGGTGGTTCTGAGAGAGAAAAGCACATTTGAATATAAAAACTGATGTAGTGAGTTCATGTTTTATTTTCTGATTACTTGGAAAAACACTTACTCTTTTTCTTGCAGCAGTTCTTACAGTTTTTGCATTTGTATTTGCAGCAGAATTGGACAATCCCAATGGTAAAAAGGATGAAGAGGATCCCAAAGCCCACTGCAACTCCAACTGCTGTGGAGTTCACTCGGCTTCCTACAAACATAAAAGGATTATTGAACTAATCCTACTTCCATAAAGAAGCATTCCCAGTAGTAAAAGGTTCGTAATATTGTTTCTGAGATTGCAAAACCCTTAATATAATAATGTATAATATATTCTACATTTTCCACATAGCTCATAATAACTAATACTACAGGTTAATCAAATGAGAGAAAAAATCAAGGTCTAACATATTTCTAGTTTCCAAAGCTGACCAACAAAAACAATACCAGTTCTAAACAGTTGTCTGTTTTAATTTAATGCAATTCTAATTAAAATGGTCATATTATAAAGGTGGATATACTATATTGTTGTGCATTTCTTGTGTAAAATAACAGAAAGATACCCAATAGCAAGAATGCCTAGCATATTATTCAGAGCTAACCTTTTCTGTGAGGACAATCTGTTCAAGTAGATGAAACTCACCATTATTCCCCATGATGATCACTGTTAGGACCCTCCCTTTACTTCTTTCGTTTTTTTTTTTTTTTTAAAGTCCTTCTAAAATTTGTCTAAAATGTAAAGAAACAAATGTGAACGCTCTCTTCTCTCTGTTGTTTGCTGTTGTGTGGCTCTCTCATGTCCCCATACCACTCATACTTTAGAACCGGTCCTTCATCTTTTACTCAACCTGTGCCTCTGCTCTGCCTTGAGCTCCATTAGCAAATGTTAAGATCTGTGATTTTCAGTCAACCATTATATATTGATAAGGGATAAGGCAACCTATTTTGATTGGTTCTCCCACAAAAGAACCGTAATAGCTCCAGATTTTCCAGAGATTCTTGGTCTCTTGTGCTCTCTGAAATTTCCCATAACCCTGAGATCTCATTGACCAGAGGATTAGGAGGACTCCTACTGGACAAGACACTTAATACACCTGTCACTATACCACAGTTTGAGTAAACATCATTGAGTGATACCACAACATTTCACATTCTGTGTGTGAGATAACCAAAATACCAGACTTTTTCTTTTAATAATTATGAACTAATATTAAAAATAATCAATCACAGTTGTAAGCAATATATAATACTGTATTCAATGTATCAGTTATGGAATTCACTTACATGTCATGTTTATAAATAAATTACTTTCACTAATTGGAATTGTTTGTAATTACTCATTAGACAAGTTTTCTTCTCATGCTGTGATTCACACTTCAACACAAGTCAGACCACAGAATGTGGTGAGCCACAAGAAATTTGAAGTGCCTGTAACAACAACTAGTTTAAAACACAATAACTCTATATAAGGTTTTACAAATCACTACAGGGGCTAACTATCCACATTTAAACCTCAAATTTTAAAACAACAAAACAAACAAGGTAGGGAGTGGGAGTGTTCTAACAGCCATCAAAGGCTCTAAATGAACATGTTAAGATCTTAGCAGCCCCAAAGCACCTCCAACCAAAAATGTCTGGTGCTACCCCTGGAGCTAAGTACAAAAAAAAGCATTAATTTGCAGACCCCAATCAGAGAGACGAACAAGATAATAAGCTGGTTTTGATCACGTGACTTTTATGTTCATAGACACACTGATAAATGTAGTGAATGATTAAACTTTCCTGTTTTATTCAAAAATCAATTGTGAAGAAAAAGACAGACATATTCCTGAACTTTAAACACAACTGTTACAATACATATAACTGACTAGTACTGACTCAAATACATTCAGGAACAGTGGGCGGTAGGCAACGATTATACAGAAAATTAAGCCCTGTGTTTGTGCATGTCAGGCACATGAGGAAGTGTCACTGATCCTGATATGGACACTGAACAGCTATCTGCGATATGTGATACACACGTCTGAATGTGGTGAACACCGGCAGTTACGGCAAATTAAGCTTTTGGTAGGAGCATATAGTCACACCTCCATGAAACCCTAATCTTGAAGTCAGGCAGAGTGGGTGGCGGCGTAAAGACAATAGAACTCAATTCCATGAAGATAAGAAGAAAAAGTTTAAGGAAGCCTAACAGTCCAAATCTTCAGAACACTGAAAAAATACAAATGTCTTAAATATTTTGACCAAAACCTTATGCTAGATTCTTCAGCAGTTTGACAAAAAACTGATCATGATCATAAAACGTCTAAGGTCATGATAGAGCCTCCTCAACAGTACACCACACAGTTAAGTGTTAAGACAACCCTGAATATAATCTGAATATGAATGACTATATAAATTGACTAACCTAAAAAGGCACACATATCAATCAAAGTATAACAAAATATGTGTTCAAAAACAGTCAGTAATAAGAATGTAACCAATAATGACATTCTAATCTACTTTTACACACTACTATTCCACAATGTCATCCACAATCGAGCCATTTGTAATATCAAACACATACAACTGTTGCTTAAGGAAAAGGCATATCTAAAGCAGAGTGGTCAAACATTGACTGCTAGGAGTTCTAGTAAATCCCAGGCTTCCTTGTTAGCTGCACTCAAACAGAATATCACATTTCACTGGCGATGCCTGGAAGTGTGCAGACAGGGGCGTGAAGGACTCGTCAGGTTAAATATGGGCCATTGGCACTGAGCACTGTTTCTGAATTGTAGTCTGAAGTCACCAGGAGTGACACGCCACAGATAAACTACCAATGTGTCAAAGGCAACAAGAGAGAAAACAAGAGGTTACACAGCTGAAGACCACCTACCTACAGTAAGTTGGATTATTTTGTATAAACATGTAATTAATAAAGAATGTGTGAGACAGTCATAACATAATATAGTTATTTAAAACATAGATGTTCAAGTAGTATAAAAATGAGTACTTCATCTCATATCTTTTTAATCATACAAATGTACCTCATTGTACAATTTTAATAAACATTTACCTCTGGATAGCTTTACTTTTCTATTAGACAGGCAAAACTTTAATTAATGATATTTCCTTAATAAAAGATGATCATAAAATATTATCAAACTGGTAAAGCTATTGATCTAAGACTCATGCTGTACAATGTGATCTGATAAACAGCAGTGTGTCAAAGTTAGTGTCATAAACATTATGCAATAAACCCATCAATAAATGTTCAAAATTTGTATACATATTTATAAATTGGAACAGTTTTTTTTTTTTTTTATGTAACATCTTCTATCTAATGTGGAAGAAGAGAACAAATGTTTGTAAAAATTACCGCCTTTGTTGTACTTGCCATCAATGTGTAACTAAGATTTGTTAATACATAACGTGAGAATTGTGGCCTGCAGTGAATTAGGGTATCTCAAGACCTAAGATTGTTCTTCATCCTGTTTAAAAACAAGCGGTTGGAAACATATTTACTGATATTCTCTGTAGGATTGTTTATTAGTATTTGGATTAGGAAGACAAATGTGACAATACATCACTATAAAACAGATTATAGTAGTAGACTTGGTCAGCGACTTTTATTGTTCTATTCACTGTTCTAAAACTTTTTAGGCATATGTTTTAGAATCTGTACAGCTGAAAGCTTAATGAGTATTAAAATACGATAACGATTATTTTAATACTCAAATCGTCACAACTATGAATCATTGAATCTACTTAATCATGATTTGGTTAATAGTTCATAATGCAACTTGTGTAATGTGATAGCGTGTGAGAGTGTAGAGACACGTTTCCCTAATAGGATAATTATTTAATTGTATTCAAAAAGTCTGTTTTGTTTACTGCAAATATTCATATCTCTTACCACCAACAGCTCAGGGGACAGTAATACATTGTCTATGGTCAGTCTCCCCTGACATGAATGGTCAGTTAATTTTAAGGAACGCCAACTTTTGACTTCTGTGACCAATGACAAAGTAATTCATCTCCTGGGGAAGTTAACGACTGCTGCTACTGGTCACAGTTATAAGGTGATACATTTATGAATAATGTACCATTACTACTACTACTACTACTACTACTACTACTACTACTACTACTACTACTACTACTACTACTACTACTACTGCTACTACTACAACTCTGTTCCACATATCAAATTTAAGACCTTTTGGGAATGTGACTAAACAACTTGAGACCACTTCAGTCATGGGATGATGTAAAATGGTGGTTTCTGGCTAACCATCTGACTATTTCCAACTAAATATTCGTTAGCTCTAAACACACCTAAGCCTTTGGGGAATATGATATGAAGTGAAAAGGTTGTAAAAGCTCTTGCCGTGTTAGATCAGTGTTTTTGCATATTCTTTCTGTCTGGCTGCATGTTCTGAAAATATTTGATAGTCAATAAGATCCACAGCAAACTAGAGACCAGCCAAAACAATGCCCTATGCTACGTTAAAGAAAATGGAATCAAATTTTTGAGGTGAGTTGGAGGGGGTGGGGCTAATGCTACAGGTAACCAAGGAGGAGGGTGTGAGAGTGTCAGGTTTCATGGAGTACTTTTGTTTTGTTAGTAAAATCAGCTTCCAATGTGCCAAACCCTACAGGAAAAACGACACAGCAGTTTTTGAAAGGCCATTTTGAAGAAGGCCATACTTTCAATTTGGGGACTGATTTTCAGCTCTAAATAGAAGAAAAGAAGATCTGTGGAATCTTTAGTCAAAGGCGGAGGAGGAGTGACAAGCAAGGAGAAACAGCAAAGATTCCAACCAAGTGCAGGGCTCTGCTTGCTGTGCTAAGTGGTTTATGAGGTGCTGCTAATTTTTTTTGAAAAAGACAACTGCATCATGTGGGTGAGTGAAAAGTAAAAGGGAACAACTCTAACCACACTAGAAATACTGGGGAAGTTATCAGACTGTCTAGTATAATATATGGTCACCGGTATGCTCAAAGACTTCCTGATAGGTGTCTTTGTTCACGTGTACTCCTTTGTATGTTGTGCTTTGCTTTCACAGTTTTGTGTGAGTTAGGGGGAAATGGGGGAAGGAAAGTTAAACTGGTTTTGACAAATATTGGAAACTGTAGCGGAAAGACAAGATCTTAAGCTCTATAAGTAATGTCTAAGTAACACTATGGAGCATGCATGGACATGTTCTTTACAAACTGGATTTTAGCCAGTGTTTTCTTAAGGCATTAAAAATAGCCTTTATATAGTGTACTATCTGTAGATAGACTCTCAGAAACAGAAGCCAAAAAGAGCAGGTGATAACAAGAGTGAACCATATTTGAACAAAGGGCTTATCTTCATAGTTGACCTAGAAATTCTAACTTGTTGAGCAGGATGCCCTCAACATGAACATAATAGACAGAAATTAAGACAACATGCTGGAGATGACTCATTAAACTTTTTACTTTGTTTACTTTTAATCTAGTCATGTCTATTCTTCAGTCTGTGTTATAAATAAAGATGAATACCTCAACCTAATACAGAATACTAATTACAGTGTATTAAAGCTCAAACAATTTGTTAGGGTGTAATTAAGTAGTGTGTAATGATCAACTTTAAATAGGTCAGAATGCGTCACAAAATGCAAAACACAAATCTCATGACTCACAGTGCATCAATGCTGTATAACAGTGTTTAGGTAAAGTGCCAAACATGTATGTTTAGACTACAGTGTTTTATATTAACAATAAAGACAATCTGCTATTTGTTTCTATTTCTGTACATCTGCTATCTGGCAATGCGAGTTTACACCTCAAAACACTATTTACTATATCAAGTTACAAGTAGATGTCCAAATGTGTGCTTCTCAAATACTTGATTTAAATTGTCTGATCTTCCAATGTACCTTAAATGTCATGTAACCTCTACTTAAAGGATTACTGCAAGTTTGTGACCACAAAGCATTTCCACTGTTCACAATATGGTTAAATACAGACCTAGACTAACCTGAAAACACATCTTTATTAAGTGCTCTGCTTGTAATACAGAACAAGCTTCAAGGAGATATTGAAATTTTAAAATATTTTTTCATTCTGTAGTACAGAATGTACAGAATTACTTATATCTCAAACTCAGTCAAAAGAACAACACAACTCAACTGTGACTTTTGGGTTAAATAGTAGAATTAAATTAATTAATTCTGGATATAGAATGAGTATAACATAATGAGCAGTGACTGAATAATTGTGCGATCCTGGAGCATGACTTATTGGATGGCATTAAGGGCGGACACCTCTTGTTCAGGTAAACACAGTCAAGTTTCTTGAACATGACGAAGTGCTGAGGACTTTCTCAATAATACATCAGTGTATCGAAGGAATTACTTTAATTTAACTATTTACTCATAATGACGCATAGTGATGATGAATAACATAATTGCTTACTTTAACCTTGTCTTTGCTGGCCTCTCATCAGACAACTGCCCATTTGCCTGAGGAGAGCACACGACCATTGAATCCCAACAGACAGCCAGGTAATTATATTCAGATTCAAACTAATTTAATCTACTGTAATGACTCTCGTGTTTTATTAATTAGGAATATTCACCTTGTCTTCTAAGTAAAATTTGATGTTTTGTATTTTATTATCATAGCAGCATTAAAAACGTCATCTAGATGTCATTTGTGGAGTTTAAAACATAGTAAAATCTGGAAATGACCATAGACTTACATTTTATTTGTAAGGTATATATTTTTTTCACTTATTATACACTTGTTGGCAGCCATTGTGTCAGATGGATCTCGCACAGTGTCAAACAAAAGCTGAATTAATCTATTCTATGTATTTGTTATAGTGGTTCCAAAGCCAGGGCGTCACAGAAGACCCATGACGGCTGTAAATCCCCAAACAGTGAAGACTTCTAAGAGAAAGAAAGTATGGCTCACCATCCTGGCCGTGGTGGTGTGTGTTGCTATACTGGTAACAGCAGGATACTTCAGTAAGCCAATAATACCTTAAGACAAGAAATATTTCAGAGCAATTTTAGAAGGCCTATCTGCACCAATTGTGGTAATTATTCTTTCTAAAACTTATACTTTCTCTTGTCTTCCCTCAGCAAAAGTTCTCATAGACAGCAAGTACTTTTTTTGCAAGCGCTCATTTAAGTTCATCCCGATTGATCAAGCCTGTGATGGGAAGAGTGACTGTGCAGGAGGGGAAGATGAAGTTCCCTGTGTGTCAACATTTACCGTCAACAGCACATTTCCAGGTGAAGCCTGGCTCCTCTGCACTTAGTCACCAGTGTAATGAAAACTCCTACTCTATTGTTGTGCCTGTATTGTGTTCAGTGAGGCTGCTGACAGCCAACAGTGTCCTGCAGGTGTATAGTCCTGGCACAGGGTGGAGAAGTGTTTGTAGCGATGGTTGGACTGCGGAGCACACACAAACTGCATGTAAACAACTGGGATACACAAAGTGAGTGATTGAGAGCTAATAAAGGTGTCTGAGTGATGGCAATTCCTAACAGCCTAGCATTATGATTATTTTATGTTTGCTGTGAAGGGAACCAAGTAGTAGTACTGTGCCAGTGACGTCGCTCCCAGTACAATTTAGAGTGGGGCCATTCACAGCAGTCAGATCTGGAACTGGAAATACCCAAGTTCATCAGGCTACAAATACCAGGTGAGAGAAACAACTATTAATATGATCCACAATGACTAATATATTTACATGACATGTTGAGTTCTGTGCATCTGGGGAGTTACAATAGTAGCTCTACATTGGGCACTGGGGCCTGGACAGACTTTGCCTCTACTTGCTCGATGACTCCTAATCATTTTGTAATCAAAATTATAAAAAATTCGTAAGATTTGTTCTTCAAGAAGAACATTTTCAGTTAAGAAGAAATTGTATTAATGCCAAAAATGTTTGTAAGAACATTAATTGTGTTTTAATGCACTAATAAATATAGTTTTTGAGATTTCAGTCACTATCAATTTATTGAGGTTTGGTATTGATCTGCCCATCACTAGTTTTATAATGATGAAAAACTGATGATGAATGATGAAAAAACTGTTGACATTAACAATTTAAATACAATAAAGTTTCAAACCAAATATGTTTGAAATAGGTTCCCAGGCTGTGAGTTTCTGTTTCAGTTCTTGTTTCCACATTTCCCCAAGAAGCAACCATTTATAATATGTACAAGTACAATCAACTTGACTATTAAGCGACTAGTGAAAAAACATGTCATCTATTTGATAAAATTGTCTATGTATTGAAATATTTTATAAATACATGTCCTTATGTCTTCTTTCAGAAACGGAGTGTGCCAAACAGGCTCTGTAGTGGCTCTGTCATGTTCAGGTAAGCCTTGACATCTGAAGTCAGTGAGAAAGAGATGACATTCATACAACAGTCTCACACTGACAGGCCCACGCATGTCCATAGATGTTTTCAGGCCAAGAATCTCAAGCAAAACTGAACCTACTGCTTTTATGAAACTTAAAAAGTTAGCATTTATTTAGGTTTAAATATCTTATTAATACACCACTGATTTTGGGCCTTATAGCAGTTTGACGTAAACTATGGCTATAAATAGGCTATTGTAAATGGTTAAATTTTGTCAGTATGGATGATTGGAAAGTAAGCCTTTTTATCTTGAATATTTCGACTTACTTAAATGGCCTATATTACCACATTTTCTTATCTATGTTATATGTTGTTTTAAAACATACCCAGAGTTGTATTTTGTTCCTTTCACACGTTTAACACACAAACGCCTGCATATTTAGGCATAGTTCTTCTCTCAACCTAGAAACATTTGGATAATTTCAGCCCTGGAATTTCCAATTTTTACTGAACAAAGGGTTAAGAAGCTGTTAACTTGGAATCTACCTCTTCAGAATATCACAAACTGGAACAGAATATTTTGAGCTTTGGAGATGTTAACAGATAAGATAAAAGGTTACTCAAACGTGTGAATGAAACAAAACATATGACATGGTTTAAAGCTCAGAAGAGTCACTTTCGTGTAATGTGGGAGCTTTAAACACGTGGTGTGTTTCAGATTGTGGGCGGGTGGACTCTAGAGAGCGGATTGTGGGAGGCACGGACACGGTGATTGAACATTGGCCATGGCAGGTGAGCCTGGTACAGGGCGGGCAGCACACGTGTGGAGGCGCACTAGTGGCACCACAGTGGGTTGTCACTGCAGCCCATTGTTTTGCTGGGTCAGTAAAATATAAAATAAGTTCAGCCTTTGCATACTCTCTGCATAGATTGACATGGCGGCCTTTTGTTTGCAGGAGTAAAAATGAGCTAAGTCGCTGGAAAGTGGTGTCAGGCAACACCTACCTGGGCTCTCTGGGGGGTTCCTCTGTGGAGAGGATCATAATCAATGGACAATACGATGAAGCTCGTAATGATTACGACATAGCCATGATGAGACTCTACAGCCCCATAACAGTAGGAGGTAAAATTTAAACAAAACGGTAAAATAAGTATCGGTGCATAGGTTAAGTGGAACTATTTAGAACCCTGGGTAAAAAAAATGCAGCCCACACAGCCCTCTTGTGGTGGTTTTGGTAACAATGACTACAGTAGCTCTACCGAGTAGCCTACCTTCTACCTAAATAATGTAAATATTTGGGGAAAAGACCGTTAAAGCACATTAATTACACGAATGAATGGCCCTTTTAAATATGTTATTTAGGTGAAACATTTGTAATGGTTATAGTGTATCAATTTTGTTCTCTTTTCAGAGTTTCGCAGGCCTGTTTGTCTACCACCAAAAGCTTTTGACCTTAGTGATGGAGCCATGATGTCTGTAACAGGTTGGGGTTACCTAGAGGAAGATGGTAGGCTGCATTTATCATTTGACTTCCTTTTTTATTTTGTAAATAAAACTGTCAAGCCAATCTTTACATTCTTTGCTTTCAGGTAAGGTTTCCTCTAGACTTCAGCAGGCTTCCATTCCACTGATTGATCGGACCAAATGCTCCAGTCCTTATGTTTATGGTAGTGCCATAACAGAGCGAATGTTGTGTGCGGGGTACCTGGAAGGGGGCGTGGATGCTTGCCAGGTACGGAACTATTTTATTATTCATCATGAGCTTTGTAATATTGAAAAATTACCTTTAATTAATTTCCTTGTTCTTCCTAGGGGGACAGTGGGGGGCCGCTGGTGCACACCAGCTCCTCTCAATACTACCTGGTAGGAGTGGTGAGCTGGGGAGTGGGCTGTGCCAGGAGGGGAAAACCAGGTGTATACTGTGATGTGGAAGAGATGATGAATTGGATCAATACAGTCATTGAGGTAAAAATGTAAATGCTGTTGAGGTACTGTTGAGATGTCTGAAAACTAACAATTTTTTCCTGTCTTTTCCAGAAAAATCCTTGAACCTTGCCCTGGTCCAATGTGAACCCATTGCAGCATTTCATTCATTCAGCAAAAAAAAACCTATTTATCACTTGCTTACAGACTATGCATATCCTGTCATACACATTTTATTTGCCATACCAACATAAATTCTCAGGGGAGATGTGTTGTTTTTGAGGCTCATCAGATGAAATTTTGAGGGATTTAGTGCCATAACATTCTACCACATTCACGTATGATCACAAACATTTCTCCACTCATGTCCAAGCAAAGCATCATTTTTGCTAAAATAACTGATGCCAATTGTGCTGTTAGGTTTCTGTGTACCTTAAAGCACAATTGACTTACATGAGCACTTTACATGAGCCATGAATTACTTGATTGTACTGCTTGTGAAGCTTTCTTAATATGCACTGAGGTTTACAGATTAAAAATATTTGCCATGTTGCAGAGTGCAATGAAAGACTTGTGTAAGAACAGGAATTCTGTGCACTGAACCTTGTAAGAGATTAGGAATATAAGTAATAATTGTTGTGTATATTTGTAAATTATTATGAATAACTTAAAGGAAATGTATTGTTTATTACAAAATGGTTGAACAAACTTTTAAGGTTTACATGTTAAATGCACTTGTAAATATTTTTTCTTAAAAAAATTTAAATACTGTACATTTGTTGTGATGGTGTTTGTTTATGTTATTTGGTTTCTGGCTTTTCTCAGAATTAAACATTAATTTATCAGAAGCACTTTATTTCTTTTAAAAATAATGTTACATAAAACATTCATTTATTAGAAGTAAATGTGGTGAACATGAGTATTTAAACACTAACCTCCAAAAGTGCCAAACTAACAACATGCATGTTATAAAAGTACTTATGTTTATCTTTTTCCACGGCGGCTTGATCCTTTGAAGGGATTATCCTGCATCAAAGAATTTACAACACATTTGTCAAGAACATAAAAATAATAATTAATAATAATAATTAATTATTAGCTGTAACTTACGTCATCATCGTCACTGTTATCAAAGAAAACCCCTTTAGAGGATTGGCTTTGGCTTTGAGACTGGCTGCTATACTTTCCAAAAGATGACGAGGCTCTGGAGAAGATATAGGTCAACATTTATTAAAATAACATTGGAGTTTTGATTAATCCAGTAAACGTAACTAAAAAAAAGGTAATAAAACTTACTTTGAAGTAGGACGTAAGTTTTTTTTGACAGGGATATCTTCATCTGAATCATCAATGCTTATCTAGAGCATGATCAAGGGTATAGCATTAAAAAGGGAATAAAAACCTTGTAGAGTTTGTGTACATGTATTTTTGTGTATTACATCTTCTGTTGCAAAAGAGTCAGGCCGTGATGATCTCTGAGATGTAGCTTGAAATGCTGTTGGGAGACATGACACACACATACTTTAAACAATACCTATATACTTAATTCAACTTATTAGCAGTAGTATAACCAGTGTTGGGAGTAACGCATTATAAAAGTAACGAATTACTGTACTGCATTGCTTTTTGCTGTAACGCAGTAATGTAAGGCATTACAGGGAATTTTTTTTTATATTTTACTCAGTACAAATGTCAGTAACACGCATTACAATGCTTTTTTAACCTGGATTGAAATGGTGGGTTTCAATTCATACAAATTCGCAAAAATTACCGCGATATCAGCAGCGGTAAAATGCCGGAGACAAAAGGACCTTCGCAGAACACCGCGCTCCACGAGGCGAACTGCAGCTGATGCCTTGCAGACATCCTGTTCCACGGACTCTGGGTTCTCTCAGAGGTGGTCTTAGATTCCAAGTTCTAGTACAAGATTAGTCCTGGTTTGGTCCCGGTTTAGTCTTAGTTTAGTCCTGGTTCAGTCCTGGTTCAGTCCTGGTTCAGTTCTGGTTCAGTTCTGGTTTAGTCCTCGGTTCAGTACTGGTTTAGACCTAGTTTAGTCCTGGTTCAGTTTTGGTTTAGTCCTGGTTTAGACCTGGTTTAGTCTGGGTTCAGTCCATATACGTTGCAAAAGTTCAGCATCTTCACAGTTATTTTGGCGAGAGTAACTTAAAAGTAATGCAATAGTAATGCAATTCCTTACATTTTAAATACATTATATATATATATATTGTAATGTAACAAATTACTTTGAAATGACAGTAACAAGTAATAAATAACACATTACAGTTTTAAAGTAACTTGCCCAACAGTGAGTATAACGTAGCTTATAACAAGCTTAGTACCTTGCATTATACTGCTTTGAGTCGATTTTTGACCACGGCCACGGCTTGCTGGTTTGGGTTCTGAAACTGTTGCACCTGAAAAGAAATTCCTTTGATTATATTTAGTGCAAACATTTTAAAAAAACTGCAGTATTTCAACTATGCATATTATACATAGTCCTCTTTTTAAATACACTCAGTGCATACCTCTCCCTCTTCCCCGTCCACCTCTTCCCCTGCCTGCTCCGCGCCCTCTGCCTCTAGTGGGCTGTGGGAATGAGCTTGAACCTTCATCAGAGTCCATGGCAAAATCACCATCAGACATGCGATCACTGGGGTCATCTCCACGCTCCAGACGGTGGGCTTTAGCTCTGCTCATGGCCTGTTGGGGAGAAGATTAAAAAAACAAAGCATAAATATAAAGCAAGATCATTTCCTCTACTCATAAAACAATACAAAGACAAACTCACTTCTTTAATATCATTCTCTTCTTCTGTAGTGTTCTTTTTGGAGTCTCTGAATACCTTAATCTGTGAATAAGGGGCAATGCTGTTAAACAGATATAAAGTAGAGCATGTCTTATATCCAGTCTACACATTACTTCTGCGTCAATGTCTTGTTCTGTAGTGACTCCTCTGGCCAGTAGGTGTCGTTGCGTCTTCTCAAGCTGATATGAAATCAGCTCTTCTATGGCATCTTTTTCATCTTTGTCTACAAATTCCTGTATTGCTTTTCCCATGCCCTGCTCAGTAAGCAGAGACAACTGTACTGTCTATAAAATATGAATAGTTAAAAACACAGGGACTTTAAAAAACATATATACAAAAATATATTATGAATGTCGGACAATTACCTGCTCTGCTGCTTCAAAATATTTTTTAACCAAATCTTCCACCCTGAGACCTTCAACCGCTGTATTCTTCACCAATCTATTGTAGTCAACATTTATTTCATCTAAATAAAAACAACACTGTATGATACTGCACTGCACTTATTGCATCATTTTGTTTGAGACACACCTTTAATGTCCTCTTTCTGCTCTCGCCGCCTTAAAAAGTGAATGACATCCTTTGGATTAGCAACACGATCAACAAACTTCTGACTGAAGCGAGAAGTATTGAATGCCTCAAATCCTCCACTGTAGTCCACCTTTTAAGAAGAACAGCAAATTAACAGAATGCAGTAGACTTGTATTTCAAAAGGACAATAAATCTCACTCGAAGTCGAATCAAAGGTTTCTCCGGAGTCATGGGACACCCTAACCTTTCTCTTTCAGCCTCCTCCAGCATTTCATTGACCTGGAACAGGAAAACAATGAAATATCCATATTTACCAATGAAGCTAAAGATGATAAAAGCTCTACTTTTGCATAGCAGAATTCCTCCACTTTCTTTGTGACATGGGGTGTATCTGGGGTGAACCTGTCCTGGTAGTCAGCTAAAACCACATCTTGAATGAAGAATTGGCGCACCGTTTTAAGGGGTAGTTTAAGCAAGTTCATTTTGCGACCGTTGACACGAAGCAACCCTATGTGTCTGAAACGCAATAGGTCAATGGTCACTTTTTTTTTTTTTTTTTATTTAATTATGTATTGATAAATGATACTTTTTAGTAGCTTCTCCTGGAGACAGGGAGGTAGCTACAGAGCTGCCAGGCTGTGTCACATAAAAAAGCTGCTGCTCATTTCTGGTTGGGGTGATGAGACACTCATGCTCATGGCCCCACACAACTAGATCGATGAAGTCATCAAGAAACTGCTCAGGAATGTAGTTTGTAGGCCCATGTTTACTCCTTCAAAAAATAGAAAGAAACCAAAAAAAAAAGTTGTTATTATTGTAATATATAATATTATAAATATTTATTTTTAATATTTAATTTCTGAAGTTTACACCTCATCCCTCTTTTATGTGATGCATGTGAACACACAAACCTGTTTTGGTGCAAAGTAAAGAGGTTAAACCACTCATCTTGGTCTTCTTTAGGACGAAGCATTGTTACTTGATTATTTACAAACATTCTGTAGAGCCGTTCATCTGGTATGGATCCTGTAAATACACAAATACAGAATGTAATAATAATAGGCTTTACACATAAAAACACACAAAATCTTACCCAGGCCATACAGGGCTAGTTTTGTCCTCCCTTTCTGCATGAGAATGGGGCTAATTTCTATTTTTTCCACTGACTGAGAATGACCAAAGTGATTTACCAGACCCGAAGCACTTAATAAATCTAAAGCACACAACCCTTCAGCCTTGAGAAAAAACAACAACATATCAATAAAACAGATATAGATGTGTGGTCCACGAATGAACAGTCACTTACCCCTGTTGGGTCATCATGATTACCATGAATGCTAAACACAGGAATGGAGATGTTCAGATTTTCATCCTGATAATTTACCCATGGAAATCTTTAAAAAAAAATATATAAAAATAAATAAATACATACACACACATATATATATATATATATATATATACTATGTTTAGACATATGAAATGATGCTTGCATGGAAATGTACAAACATTATTGTGAAACTGACTTGGTTGTATTGAAGTTTACAGTCTGATCACTGAGAATGTTGAATTGAATCGGAGTATCTCCCATACAGTACTGTCTTAGCATAGTTATGCAGGTATGAAGGCAGCGCCGAGATGGCTTGTTCTCATGGAACAAATCTCCACCCAGTAGAATAAAGTCCACCTTAAAACAAATAAAGCCTGGCAAAATGAACTGTCAACAATTACCAATCTGACATATAGTGAACAAATACCTGATACTTCTTGGCATACTCTAAGATCTCCTTCAATGTGTTGTAAGAGTCATTTCCACGTGTAGCATCCTTCTCAAGATACCCCAGATGTACATCTGTTGAAATGAGAATCTTAAATGTATCCTCGTCATCCCTGCAAAAAGTTTGACATATATAACATTAGAAAATATTCAAAACTAACACACAACAGTTTGCCAGAGAAAAACTTACATTGTATTCTCTGAGGACATGATGAAGTATCAAAGATAATCTGTTGGTGTTACTGGCAAAAATAATAATAATAATAATAATGGTATTTGAGTAAGTAACATAAAAGTGAGTTATATTATATCACAATAGCTTTATATACACTGGAATTCCTCGTAACGAGTTGACATGGACAAAATGGTAACTGGCAAGTTTATAACCACAACTATCCGCTAACTACAATTTTGCAACTCATAAGGAAAACCAAGGATCTATAATACGAATGAGTAATGAAGTCAAGTTAGCAATACCTTCAGTTTAGCTATAGCTACGTATGGTCGAAGGCTTCGTTTAACGCGCTATGACTAAAAAATTTAAAACATTTTCTGGTAAAAGCTAATGTACGTGTAACTTACTTTCACATATATAAAGCTGCAGCCACATCCAGAATCGAAAGCACCAACAAAAATCCCGGCAACTCTTGCAAAATCTAATATTGGGAGTTGTAGTTCATTGAAAACTGATTTGCACGTAACAGTGGCATTGTCTGTTTAGATAAAAACTACATTTCCGGTACACTGAAATGTTAGTTCGATTTATCCGCCATTTAAACCCGACACATTTTTTTAGGAAGGCGCAAGTGCGATTAACAACCTGTGGACTAGAGTGTGACTTAAAACAAACTAACCCAAGTGCAACCTTAGAAGGAGAGGTTTAGCTACTTGTTAGTTTTGTTGAGTGCTGTAGAATTGATCTATGTTGCAAAGTAGTCGCGTTGTACAAAAAAGCAGCAACTAAAAATGCAAAGATTTGATAATTGAACTTTCTTTAACCAAATTATTTTTTGAGTATTTCATACGCTAAATCTAAAGCAGTGCTATGGATCCTTCAGCAGCAACAGCTTCAGCTGATGCTTTGCGAGAAAGGGTAAGTTTCCCCTGAATAAATAATTGTTTGTGCTTGGAGACTAACGAAGATGACCCAGCAATGTTATCAGAAACTTGCCACAATTTTCATTGTTTACAATTATTTAAAAATTGCGCAGTTTAATGGATCCTCAACAGTGTTTATCATGTCTTTTCCTTATTTCTGATCTTACTGTGTGCCTGCAGGATCTACGCCTACAACCACAAATTGCACCCAGTGGTTTAGTGTGTGATAATCTGTCACTGCCTTCTTACAAGGAATATCCGGCTCAGCGTCCATTCATCACCACACTGGTCCAGTCTCCCACAGCACAGACATATAGGGCTTCATCACCCTGTAAAGCATTTCCAGAGACCAACAGTGCAGGTAAATACTGGTTAGCCCATTTGTGAACACCAGATATACACATTTGTAGACTTGATGTTTCACATTAACTATTGTTGTTCAGCTCCATGGTTACAGCTAGTGTAACATGATGCCCGAGTCCCACTAACTCTATTTATTCATTCACAGTCCATCTTCTCAAATTTCCCCATAAGTATTTAGATACATTGGAATTTGTTTTTAAGTTACTCTAAAACACTTTTTGCATGGTATATATTTTTTACCTCTGCTCTTGTTCTTCTCACCATCTCTTGTAACATGTTTGAAGCAATTCTATCTGCCCTACGCAATCTCCAAGAGAAGATCCGAAAGTTGGAAAAGGAGAAAGGATACATCTCTTTGCACGAAACAGGGAAACATGTGATTAACACCTCTACACAAGGTGACATAGATGTCAACAAGGCAAACTGCAACCAGGGTGAATAGGTGTTCTTTTAATTGCATTTCACATATTTATATGCAGAGTATCCTTGTTGTTTTTAATTAATATATTGCCAAATTTTATTAAGTGTTAATCAACCATCTGGCATCTGCTGAGTCTCGTTGTGTAAAACTGGAAAAACAACTTGATCAAACAAGAAAGATGTTGCGCTCTGCCACAACAGACAAATCAAACATATTCAATCAGGTCAGTTCTTTGCTTTTGTTATGCTGGAATTGACTATTTATTGCATAAGTGAAGCATGTTTTGTACTGATTTACTTGTTTTAAAGGCGAAGGAGACATCCAGGTCAGCTGATCAGCCTACTGAGAGCCCCTCTGTCCTTACTCGTTTAGAGAAACTTGACCATTTAGAGCAGGAATACCTAAGGCTGACACACACACAAAATAAGGCTGAGGTATTAAAGGACAGCTTAAAAAATGTGTTTCATTATTATTTATGTTATTTTAATCCCATTTGTAATTTTCCTTTCTTGTTGTCGTTTTAGAGAAAGATCCATGAGCTAGAACTAAAATTGCAAGAGGAGGAGCATCAGAGAAAGCTGGTTGAAAACAAGGCCAGTCTGGTAAACATACTTTCCTTCCTGTCTGGCATATATATAGTATAATTAAGTATATAAAAAAAAAACAACAACAAACATTTAATTCACATCAGCTGCAGGTAGGTTTGGAGACAAACAGAATTTTGTTGCGGTCTGTGTCTTCTCATCGAAAGTTCAGAGACAAACAATCAAAAGTGAAGGTGAGATTGGACTGGTTTAATTTTTCTTTTTTCAGAACACTTCCTTTCAGCTAGCTTGCTTTATTGACATTTCATTGTATTATCCTCTGTAGAAAACTTCACTGCAGCAGTCTCCTACAGAGCCACATTATAAGTTCAGACTCAGAGATGTACCATTTGTTGCTGGAACGGTAAGGTCTAGTTAATTTTTTTCTTTGTTAACTATTTTAACATTATCTTGTTGTACATAGTCTTACTGTAACCCTACTCCTTCTCTTTCCTATATCCAGTCAGTGAGCAATAGCCACTCCGTCCGCGCAAATGTCCAATCGGTTTTATCTCTCCTGAAGTGTCACCAGCCTCATCTCTGCAACTGTCGTGTCCTATCAAACAAACCTTATGGCTTAGGCACAAGTAACCAAAGCTTTTCCAGTTCCTCCTCTTCATCCCTGTCAAATGAGGATGAACTATCTGAACTGCTGCATACATTACAGGAGGAGCTTCGACTCATGAGCTTGTAAGTGTACTAACATGTATATAGTATATGTCATGACATTTGAAAATGTATAAGTTTTGCTTGTTTATGCTTTAGAGAGCAGGATGAACTACTGAGGAAAGTGGAGAGGAGTGTTTCTGAGCAAGAAAAAAGAGACCTTCAGTGGGAACAGGAGAAACTACTTCTCAAAATGGAGAGCAAAGGAGAACAAATCAATAAGCTTTACAAGCATAAATCCCAAGTATGTGAGTTATGTTAAAATTTATTATTAATTTGCTTTCATTAAGCATAACCATGTTCTTTTAGGTAAATCATTTGTTGAAAGAATCGAATGATGGTCGAGTAAAAAAGCATGTGGAAGCAACCATAAAGTTTTCTAGCAAAGGTAATTCGAATGAAGCAGTCAAACTCAGACCAGGAGAGAGGAGCAGGAGAAACCTGCGGCTGCTGAAGGACATGAGAGCTCTACAAATGTCTCTGCAGACATGAACATGCCTCATATACACTACACTATTGTGACTTTATGTATTGGTGCTGCCTATTATTTAATTAACTTAAACTGTCATTGCATTGCTTTATTTTTGCCAGATACATTTTATTGAAATTTTTCTACAAACAAGTAAATATTTACATAAATTTTATGTGTAGCTCTGTGTTATTCTACCACTAGAGGTCGTAAATGTACATGTAAAGTGCCCTCATAGGGAAATTTGTCCTCCACATTTACCCATCCTTCAATGCTGCTGAGGCAACCTGTCTGGAGCACCATCTCCATATCTTGAGGCTTGGTCAGGACTGCATTATCTGAAATTTTACCTATGGTGCATGCTTTATTTTGATGCGGGAGACCAGAAAGGAAATGCACTAGTTTTTTAGAGAATTAAGCAACAGTAATACTTTCATTCTTTCTTTCACTATTCAAATAATAGAATACTTTAGCTACATGAATGGTGTAAGTCTCCTCATATTCACACAGCAATATAATGAAATTACTTTATATAGTGCTATTTAAATCATCATCAACTTCGATGATTGTGTGTTGTGTGAGTGTTGCAATGGCACAGTTAAGTGTGTGCAAGCCTGCACATGCAGCTGATCATGAGCCTGTACAGCACTGAAGGGCAGGTGGACACATCCATATTTACAAACATGTATCTCACATGCAGCTCACTGCTCCATCGTGGGATGCGCCACAGCTTCTGCAGACCATCATAAGCCAAATCAGCCTATGCATACTGCTCTTTCTGTGAAATAATGTCATTTTCTTTGCATTGCATTTAATATCAGAGTCTGATCCATTTTGGGATTACACACTATTCACATTCTAAAGGAGGTGTAAATGGAATTGCTCTATTTTACACACATATTTGGGCATACTAGAACACCACGACTGTGCAAATATGTTGGGTCACATTTTTAAATATTCTTAAAATAACTATGATTTAGATAGCGAACTGACAGAACAAGACAATAAAACAGATATACATGATTAACCAAATGGAATTTGCTTACAGTGATGATTGATTCACATCTGTTCACCAAAATTAAGACAAACTACATCAATTGAATTAATAAAGGTAGATAAAGATTTGTAAAAATACTATTTAGTGATTATATACGGCACATGCACCTGTCTATACATTTTGGAAAGTGAATAGAAAAATAATTTCTTTTACAAAACACAACATCTTGAGCAATCAAATGCACATCTAGTGCTTATTGCAGTTGATGTGCCTCTTATCCAGTCTATCTTATACGGAAAACATAATGGCAGTGAGGTTACACAAGACTTGGGTGCGTAAAGGGGCCATCAGATGTGTGTGTCCAGGTTTAGAGTGAGTCTGGATATGTGATCCTCCATGAGTCTCAGCGCTGCTGACCTAGCCTCTAAAGCTCCAGATGAAAACAACACCTGTAACCAGAGTCCTCTGTTTGTGTGGTCAGGTGTGATAAAATAGCTCCCCTGGCTCCCTCCACAGGGGCCAAAAACACTGACCTAAAGGAGAGCCAAGTGTGCACCTTTTGTTGTCCTTGGCTATGACCCAAGATTGCCATAATCTTCATCATGAGTCTGTTTGAGTGATGGATTCTGATTCATTTTTACTGCACTCCCCTTGGTGCTTTGGCAAAACTGGTCGGTTGGTGTAAATATCATCTACAGGCAAGAGGAAACTGACTGTCTTTACTTTTGCCCTGAAAAGTAAAAAAAAAAGAAAACCCAGTTAATGTAGGGCCAGGCTTTCTACAATTCACTAGAGTAGTGGGACACATACCTGTTCTTATGGACATAATCCTGCAAAGAGTGCCTGTTGTTGGTTTTTCCCACTTCCAGTCTGGTTGGACTTCCAAATATACTGCCTCCATGGATCTCCTCTTGAAGTCTCTCCCATCCCGAGTCAGTTCTCCTCATCCGATCCACTCTACCTTCTCTCATAGACACTGAAGGTAAGGCAGAGCCCATAGAATACCTCCGCACAGTCATCACGCTGTTCTCTGAAAAGAAAAAAGTTGTTATGATATATGCAGAGACCTATGGCTTTACCCTACACCAAACAGGACAGGTCCTACAAAAAGCTATTATTGTCTTTGAAACAGTAGGCATGTTTAAAATTAACAAAGGAGCCATTACCACAACTATGACACTCACCTTTGTACGGTCCCTCCAAAACCGGTGCAGACGCATTCCTCCTTAGATTGAGACAAGGGTTCTCCTCCACCACAGCCGTGGACGCCAGGCTCGCATGGGCAACTTTAGCCCAATGTGACCGCTGGCTGAAGTCCCCTCGTAGTTCCCGGTTCTCGTTCTCCAACTTCTTGATCTCTTCGCGCATTTCCATAACGACGTGCGCCAGGCTGCGGGTGCTCTCCATGACGGCGCTGCTCCGCTGCCAGTACCACGGTTTTCCAAACACCGGCGGGATGTCCCGGTGCGGCTGCGGATTTAACATCTTTCCCCCTTTTGTCTGTCGCGCGTCTTTCTCGGTACTGTGCCCTTTTCAATCTCAGTCCAGATCTTGTTCTGGGCAGATTATGTCGCCTTTCACCACTTATACAGCTGAAAAGGCTACGGTGATCACCCGGCGCTACACGAGGCATGGTTTATTTATCAGCCTCGGTGTAAAGTTTCAGGAAAACTACGCGGGGGTCGGAAATGAAATGTGCACGGCAGCATGGGAGGGAGCTGTATTAAAGCTGCACAGGTGGATTTTAAAAGCCAAGTTCATTGGACTGCCATTGATAACAAAGATGGCTAAAAAATTTAGTCACCTTAGGTATGCTATAAGTGTTCACTAGACCAGGCACATGATCCATCACATCAAAACCAGAGCTGTTCTATCTATATATAGGCGACCTATGAACCTTATACAATGGAGTCTGTTTAGGCTCTTTGCTGAAGGCAGCAGAATCTTGTTTAAGTGTGGGCCTTTGCTGATTAGCCACAGTCTGCACTTTGGGGTAAAATGCAGCGGTATGGCCATTATAAAGTCAGGTTTTATGGCCTAGTTATGCTTCAGAAGTACAGGCAAGTGAAAAGGACAAGCCATAGACATTAGGCGCCATCTAAATGTGGAGTAGGCCTATATGCAGCTGGAGTGATTGTTTTGTCCAGGTTCCTTTGAAACCCACAGGGACCACAGGAGGTCTCTCACAGACTGTGCAGTTTGGGGTCACTGAACATGTCCTCAGCCTTAGTCTAAGAATGTCATTAATTAATGAAGACGCACTCTGCTTAGGCAGTAATTACACAACTATCGGAAAAATCTGACACTTGATACATTTCACTTTCATTTCACTTGGCTCAGTTCTTTCACTGAATCTTCTATTGTCACACTGTGAAAAAAAAAAAAAAAAAAAAATCACTTACCTGAAGACGTTTCAAATATTGAATGTACTGTCTAATGTTAAAACTAGCCACTGTATAAATCAAAAGCCCTTTGTAATAAGTTATGTATAGTCATCAGCTTTGGACTATAACAATTTTTATTTAAACGTTATACACAAAACATCCGTTTTGTTCTTTTTTCAATTCAGCTAAACAAATATTTATATAGATTATTTTATATAAAAAGACGGACTTAAATATTATTATTTCTTATTTACAATTCAAAACAGCACATGTAATAATAACAATTTCAGTGATAAAAATGTTACAAAACATTTCCCAGTTGAAAACTGTTAAGCAGAAAGTTTGTGAATGTTAGCAAAGGTTCAAAGTAGCAATGTGGAGCTGCTCTACATTCAGTCAGGAACTAGAGGTGCGTTCAACTATCCAATTTTAATTGTGAAATATGGCCTGTGTTATAAATATATTACAATTCATACAGTATTTGTCATCTTTCATAACCTCTTACAGAGATTGAAAACTGACTTAAAAGTGTATTCAGTTAACACATTCAATTGCTGAACACACCTCAAGCTCAATAAGGACACTGATCTAAAGGGAGTGGGATTTGAAGAGAAGGCGCATGTAATTTCTGTGTCTGTGTGTGTTTTATACAAAATACTGTAAGTAAAAGCATTGCAGAGCTGTGTGAGTGTGTGTGTGAGTGTGTGTGTGTGTGTGTGTGTGTGTGTGTGTGTGTATGTAGACTAATAAATCAGCTGGTAAGATAAAGGAACTCATAATTCACAAATGACCAATTCCAAAACAATAGTAGCCAATTTCAAAACAATAGTAGCAAACAGTCTGACTTCTAGTAGACAGTCAAGTATAATCACAAGACTACAAACTACCACAACCACAGCCTACTCACTTCTTTCTTTGAGTGGTCTCACAATTTCAGAAAATTACAAGCTCTTATCCCATACTGGCACCATGAAGGGTTAAGCGGTCCTTTAATGATGGCCCACTGAGGTTGGCCCATTCAAAATGCGCTGTGACGTTCTGTTCCTGGTTGTCTTGTTTGAGGAATCTAGACAAAAGTTTTAGAAGGTTATGTAAACACGAAAAAGTACCTTAAAAATTAATAATAAAAACTAAAAGTGCGGCACAGGTTGAGTCCAAAAGAAAAAGGTGGAGTGAAATGACGTACCAATCTTGGACAGATTGGATAGAGGCTAGAACAGTTTTTTTGGAACTGAAATTGAAGATGATATATGAAAGCAAAAGCAATAATACAAAAATGCAGTGAATGTTTTGAGATGATGTGTAAAGAATTGGGAGGCAATAAATAAATGCAAGCCTTAGGTGCAGCTTAAAAGTTGTGTTTTTTCATAGTGAGACCTGCTCATTCATGATGCCTGACAGCTCTGTGAGCATGTCCCGGTAGTGAGTCCTCATTTCCTCCTGATACTCCAACTGGTCCTCTTTGATCAGACGCTCATTCACATCCAATGCTTGACCACACGCTTCTGCAAACTGCCTGCAAACACCCAATAAAACACAAGTAGAATGCATACAAACCATTAATGCACATAGTGTTTTTCTGTGGTATGAGCAAGGTCAGTACCTAAAAATCTCCTTGAGTAGTTTGACCTGGTTGTCTGGATATTTCTTGGCATTCTTTTCTTCTAAAAATGCTCTGGCATAAGCCATAGGTCCAGCATTGACCTAAATACAGGACAAGAATGAGATTAGATTTGACCAGAGGACTGAATTCCTAAAAGGCACTGTCTGTACACACCTTAGCGCTGACACTGCCCTGCAGCTTCAGCTGGAGTCTGATCATATCCACTTCCTCCATGTTGCAGAGCTGGTTGAGTTCAGAGACCTTCCGGGACATCTCATCTATAGCCACTTCTATTGGGTTCATTTCTGTGCTTTGCTGTTCCACTACCTCAATGCGCTTTTTTAAATAGGGGAAGTAGGAGCTTGCTAAATACAAGAGGAACAAAACATTGCTTACAGATTCCATGCATACATTTATAATTACCAAGTTACAGACTAACTCACTAGTTAATATGGTGCGCCTCTTGCATTGCTCTTCCACATCACCATGTTTCTTTCCAGACAGAGTAAAGGGGGTCTCAAACACAAAGCGGTTGATGTTGTGATGCCTTTCAAAATCTGTTCTTTTTTCCTGCTGCTCTTTTTCATCAAAGTATGGTACCACGTAGGTCACTTGGATATAGGCAAATTTCGGATCCAGGTCTTTAGGATTCACCTGTTTTCAACAACCAAACAGATCCCAGGTTTACCTGTTATTCTTAAATGTATGGTAACTTGACTAGATAAAACTTACTTTATTTGAGTCCTGGATCATCTTAACATTGTCTGCTCCAAATTTGTCAGAGTAGAGTTTGAGTAATCTTTGTGAGATCTCAGACAGTCCTGTTAGCTTTGGTTCTTTGTAGATGAACTCCTTGCTCTCCTCTTCCTCAAAGAAACCCTATGAGTGGAAAACAAGTAATTAGCACAGACTGACTTACTTAATCATGTGTAAGTGTGGGCATGCACTGCAAGATTATAATGCATATGGTGTTGTTTTGACAGAGACACAAACACTGAAGGCATGTCAGGCTAGTTTTGGACACTGCCTAAGAGTTACAGGAGACTTTAAAGGTAAAATACTTCAAGGTAAATGAGGCTTAATAGAGACTGGCCTTTAAACACATTTATTATTTCCAAGCGGACCATTTTTGCTGTAAAAATATAGTACAACACAGCAAACTTGAGGAAGCTATAAGTAAAAGTGTTAATGGAAGCAGGAAAAGAGGAGAGGTAAGAATGGTTAGCCAAATGTTAGATCAAAGACACACTACTAGACTTACCACAATCTTGATAAAGATTTTTTTTTTATAAAAGAAAAAAAGCACAAAGAGATATTGAAGACAAAAAATGTATTCATACTAATACGCCTTTTACAGAAAGGTCTTTTTTTTGGCTGTTTTTCAACTAAATGTTTTGATATAACATAATTTATTTGGTGTCTTACCTGGCCATAGAAAGCGACTCGGTAATATCGTCCGAACAGTCTTTTCTCTGAATTGACCACCTCTGTCACCTTTAGATAGGAACGATGGATGTCATAGTAAAGCTCTGAAAGCCTCTGTAATTTAAAAATACAGTATAATACATAGTTAAGTATTATTTATTAATCTGTCACAAATAAAATTATGCAAATGCATGCCTTAAAATCCCTGCGCTTTTCAAAGACAGCGATGACAGGTTTGTTGATGTCTGCTATGAGTTCATGTCGTTCTGACTTCCACAGATAGTCCACGCAGAGCTCCAGCTGTTCTACTAAAGTGTCCTGCAAAGAGTTTAAAAGTTGAAATCCTCCTTCACACAAGCAGTTGTATTTTTGTCCTTACTGAAAGGGCATACCTCGGTATAAGGTGTGTCCTGTGTGCCTGTGTCCTCTTTCATAGCCCCTTCCTCCTTCACATTTGGACTAATGCACATAAAGGCCGCCCAACCCATAGAGAAGGATGCTGTTTTTGTCCATACAGCACAAGGTGAAAAAGAGGTCATTTAGTGCAAGTCACATATTTCCTTTTTATTTTATGACATGAAGGTAGATTTGATAACGAATAAGATATAAACACACACTAATATCTGTGTGGCGGATAGTGAAATACATTACAGAAAGAGGACAATTAACTTGGTCAGTGTAAAATAAAAAGTAAATTTATTTCCATTCAGTAGTTCAATTATCTTACTGGATAATTTTGATTAATTTTCTAATTTAGATTTTTTTATAGAGTGAAAAAAAAGGATTTATATGTAGTATCATGCTAATTGAACTACTGGATTAAATAGACTTCTGTTCTCTATTTGTTATTATTTATGTCCAGTCCAATTGAATACAACATGCAACTGAATGTAATATTGAGGTATAATTCAGTGCAAAAGTTAAAACACAGATACATTAATGTGCCAGTCAGGATAACTGGGTCCTCAAATGTCCCTCTCAAACTGAAACAGCTCCACATCACCAGTTATGACACAATGTAATGCCAGTTTTGTTTCCTTATAGCCCAGCCCCAAGCCCCACCACCAGTTGGCCCCAGGCGCACACACTCACTGTCTGGGTCTCGGGAGGTAGTTAGTAAGGAGCTACAGTTAAAGACAGGGTTTTCTTCTGTGGACACAGTGGAAATCCTGGTCTTGTCTGCTCTCCAGTAGCCTGTTTGGTAGGAGGGTAGGAGGAGGAGTGGATTGTGACTTTTTATGTTTTGACTTCAAATCAGCTGACAGGTTGTGCAACAGTATAAGCTGATAGCATGCAAGGCGAGTAACAGCCATTTTGATATCGTGGATGAACATAAAAGGCAGGTGAAATATGGAGGCAAGTGCTTTGATAGTTGTTGGATAAACTGACATGCACGTATAGGAACAAGCAGTGGAAGCAGTGTTCAAGCCAACAAGTGAGTTGCTTCAATATACTGAAATGTTCAAAAGAGAATCCATGAAAATGCAGAGACAAAGCAATATGATAAGAAGCATAGATTTTATTTTAGTTTGAAACTGGAATGCCCAAAAATAAAATATAAAAAGCATAATGCACTTTCACAGCATTTAAATATGTAGCTAGAAATGCATTTTAATTGTTGTATGAACTGACCTCTTCTCTTCAGTGATTCTGCAATAAGTGCTGATATATGGATGTAACACATAGCAGCCTGAGAGTAAAACAAACCACAATTTTAGCAACAATTTTAGGATCTAAATTAAATACTTAATTTACAAGGTTACCTCAGAGAGATCCCCATTGCGAACATGGACCTTTGCCATACTTTCTAACCAAGTACGCCGGAGCTCAGGTGTACTAGCATAAGAGTTGGCCAAGCTGTACTGCAGGTCAATCAGCATTTCTGGGTCTTTCTCATGCTCCTTCATCTGGGCTGTGGCCATCAGAACTGTCCGGATTCTTTTAGTTAAGTCTTTCACCTCCGCTGGGAATGGGGTGTTCTATTCAAAGAAAGAAAATAATAAATGAATACCAGATGAAAAAAAAATTACAAAGAGATACAAATGTGATCTATACTGTAGTATATAGTTGTACTGCCATTACCTTCAGATGCACATCACCATTGGCAAAATTATTAATAATGGCAAGAGACTGCTGAAAACGCGAACCACCAATGCCAGCATCAGCTATTAACTGACTCACTGCCTTGATGACCTTATAGAAAGAAAAAAAACAAAACAACAAACATTCAGATTTGCAAAACAATGTCTAAATCTGAAGACTAAAACTTTTTGAGCTTTTGGTCATGTTAGATATATGTTATATATACGATTCTTGTCAATAACATTGTTGGAGTAGACTTTTGTTTCATTCATGTTGTTCTGTGTATTTAGACTGTGTCAGTCTCGCTAAGATTGTTATTTGGAAAGTCAATACACCATCACCAATCACATAATCCTCAAATTTCTTTCACAAAAAAGACAACATTGTCTGATGCTAAGAGGTTCCATTTGTGGCCCTACAGATGCTTATCTCCTCAGTGAGCCAGCAAAGGGCTGGTCTCTAACCTTTTAGTATGCTGTGAATTCAGGACTGGCTTGCTTCTATGTTTTGACTACATATGCATTCTTTTAACTTGTGCAACATGAATTAGAAAATTCCTTCATAATGCATAATAAAGGATGGAGGAGTCCCAGACCTGAAGGTGTGAGCGGACTATAGACTTTCCTTTGGTAAACTCAAAGTTCTTCCTCATGACAAAATACAAGAGGGCCGCCGCCTCCATCTGAGTGCAGCTAGAGCGATGATTACAGCACTTGAGGATCTCATAGCAGAGACAGCCACACAAGTCTGCCTTACCCTGGAAAAATGCACTGGGAAACTACACAAAATAACAAAAATAAGAACATGTTATTATACACAGATAAATGCTTTTATAGGTTACGTGACTGACCTTTTGAACAAAAAGTCTGAGAGCAGCAAAGACATGTCGCAGTGTGGCAGTAGACTGATTGATCTGAAAGTAGAGCATGTAGGTGTCCAGCACCTTCTTCATCAGTACATTCTGCCCATCATCCAGCAACAATTGTTTCTGTGGGAAAAACAACAACAAGCACACATAAAGAGGGATTATCAGACTACGTCACTGTACACTCTACTGTCCATGTCTCCTGCAGAAAGAGCCGCTATGCTATCTTATATCATGTGAGTGTCTTGTAGAATTTCAGCAGATTTCAGGTTCTCCTAGGGGCAAGGATAGTTATATCAATATATAAGTATGAGTGGAAGTTCAAACCATTTCTTCTCATCATTTACTCACTCACCTGCATTTAATGCATATGGTTTATTAAGTTGTATCCCACTCTCTAATGTTAATTTAGCATCATAAGTTATTTTATCACAAGGTGATAAACTGTTTTAGTGCTGACAACAGCGCTAGCTAGTGTTGCAAATTCATGTTAACTGCACAGATAGCAGTGCTTTCTGCTGTCAGGCTGCATGCGCATCCGATGTGCTGATAAACAAATAATCATGGGTCTATTAAAATAACTGTCTATATAGCAAGTACAATACAGACTTGCATATGAGAGAATCTCACCTGTAACACTCATTGACCACCAGGTGGCAGCTCTATAGATTTATCTGTATTGGGAGGTTTAACATAGACACTCTATTCTGGACCACTTCTCCATTTTATTTATGCAAATATTTAGTGAAGCTTTAGACACATTGTAATTTATCAATTAAAAACATAAAACATGTTTTAAAAGATAAAATGTCTTATCCAGACAGGCTGTGTGACAGACAGACCTTGTGATGGTGAACAAAAAGCTCCAGTACATCCAGCACAGTCAGGGACACCTCTGTGGACAGGTTTGCCTCTACATCTGTGGGACTGGAATCTCCTTCTGGGATGCCCCCATCTACACACAAAATATAATTTAGAACTATTTGTCTTAATAATACATTTAATGAAAATGTGTTACCTGTCTCCATCATCTGTAGCAGCTTAGGGTTAGTGAGTGCATTTTTGCCCCTGATGATGGGCATGGTTTGGGAGCGAGCATGTCTGTGGCCATCTCCAGATGACATCCTAGACAACAAGCAACATCAGTGACTTCTGAGAAGTTACACCATTTTAATTAACTTGATTACAAAGTAAAAACCTCAATTACAAACAAATGATTCAGAACTCCATGTTAGCAATACTGTTGCTTAACTATATGGGAGTACAGACACAAGAGCTGGTAAACAATACACCGATTGGAGGGACATGCATGGAATACATAGATACAAATCAGAGTGTAACACAAACACAGTGCCCACTTATATGATGAACATAGGACTGTAGTGTAACATATAAATAGAACAATTGTGAACAGTATATTTGATTCCTTATAATCAATAATGTGTTTAACTATGAATATTAGCAACAGATATTAAGACAGAGGTGTTGTCATCTTAAGGTGGAGGGTGGTTACCATTGTGGAAGGAGACTGGAGGGTTGGGAGGGCTGAGAGGAATGGTTAGAGGCCTTCAGGGTGCCATTGGCTTGGGTTGACTGGGCCAGCTTTACTGCCGCTGCTAGTTTCCTGTTTATGACCCAATCACACCAGAGCTAACATTGGTTAATCAAGACCATCACTCATTAATGTTACCCTGTGTCAGATAATGCCTTATTATGAGCATACTACATACAACCTCAGCTAATAGTTTAGTTTTACATAAAGCACTGGGTTTGCAATCATATATGTATAAGTATATTAGCAATCACATAAAAATATCATTTTATTAGTGCAATGCTACAAGACTCTTAATTTGAGTTTTGTGGTTAAAACAGTAGCTGGAAAATAGACTATAGAAAGTTATACAGCCAATGGTTATAGTTTGATATTTGAAAGAATATATGATATGTGAATGGAAATGGTGTTGATGATATGCAATGTAAAACAGGACATGGAGGGTAAACACAGCAGAGCCTACGTATAATGCTTTTTATTTGCATGTTAGTGTAAAATGCTCAATGTAGCATGCTTTTGTATTTGCCAATGGAAAATATATGATAGACACCAGAAAGTGAAGTCCACAGAGAAAGGGATACTAACATTAATATGCAACACTTGACCCAGCATCAAGAAACCATGCAGTCAATGTTGATGTAGACTAGAATCAGGAACAATGAGCCAGGAAGTACGGGGAAAGGGAAGAGACATGCAAGGATGATTACAACAGCATGGTTAACCATGGAGTGTATTTCTCATTTCTATAGTAGATTAATTTTAGTATAATATGCAAAGTAGTTTGGTGGTTATAGATTTATGATGCTTGGAAATTTGCAGAGTAATTCATCACTTGTAGTGCCCACACTGACTCAGACAGTGTTCAAAGAGCTAACAGACAGAGAGGCAGACTGTGAGGCTGTGATCCCCTGGGTCTGCTATTACAAACGAATGTTAAGTATCTGGCTGCTGTAGACAGGCTTAGCACCAGCAATGGGATCCAACAATTTCTATGATACGTCATAGCAGGAGTCCCAAAGTCCAGAAGTACACATACGCTGTATTACAGTGTATACATTTCACATTTTCAGATGGTATTCCTCATCCTCTGCCGACCCCCACCACAACAAATTGTTCTCTTGATGTGCACCTTGATCTGTGCATTTGCAAATGTATGAACAGATGTGTGTGTGTGTTGTCATAATTATGCATTCAACTGGAATACTGGTCATGAATGTCTGCATGTTGAGATAATAAGATATTCCCACAGTTGTATAATATAAAGGCCCATTTGACTAAAGACATACAACTCACCTGGCAATATGGCGCTTTCCAAGAAACCTGAAATGCTGAAGACACAACCTATAGAAAAAAATAGACAGATATTCAATCATTGAGAGTGGAAATGAAGTACATGTTCTGTATCCTGGATTTAACTGTACAGTGTGACGCTGCTCCAGACAGGAAACACAGATAGTTAAATCTGCAGTGCTGAGTGGAGAGAGCACTCTCTTTGGAATTATGGTCTGCTTTTCTCCTCTCCAAGTCATTTCTTTCATCTGCTACAGTTTGGCCAACATCCATTTGATTCATTTTAGTCTGATTTTCAGTAATAATATAGTAAATCTATAACAGTGCAGTTACACAAGGCTGTGCTAACAGTCAATGCAAAGAACTTACTCTAGGATGTTAAAAAAGTCAGAGATCTCTTGGTGGATGGCTCTATGCCAGTATGACACCAAAACATCTGAAATGAACATTCAAATATAAGTCCAAGTGAGAAAGACAGATGAAAAATGCTGATTTTTCTACACGTCCATAACATACCTTCTGAAATGGTTTTCATAATGTGTAAAAAGCACATGAGGAGGCTGCGGGTCTCTGCCTGATCCAGTTTGTCACAACGCGAACCATAGCCAATCAAGGACTGTGGTCTAGCAAACTAATCAAACAGAAATGAGACGTAGTTGATTAGGAACATTTCTCTATTTTTGTGGGCTATGATGATTTGATAATCTTATGTCAAGATTTTTCACCTTTTCACATCCGTCCATCCTTTCGCTGTTCCTGTCGCTGTTGCTAGGGTTTGAGTCCACACTTATCAGAGAGCCCCTAGAGTCGGTCTGGTTACCCGTGGCAACTGCCAAGGAGGAGAAAGCTGATGGAGGGGGAGGGGTATCTTCATAAATGTCTCATTCACATCTTTTTTTTTTTTCCCATCCATAGCCCAAGCAACAAGATACACATCTGTGCTTCACACTTGTTCACCTGTGATGGAGTTCAGTACTTCTTTGGAGAAGGAGGCATCCACCGAGTTGCCATGGCGAGTAACAGGAATAACTGCTCCAGCCACGCCACCGCTCACACTCAGGTCGTCCCGAGAGCCCTTGGAGAGATGTAGCACATTTATTAGGCAAGATGGCTTAAATTTGTGTTTTTGCACACACACCTTTATGTTTCCCAAGTCATCCAATGCAAAGAGCTTACTTGATCACTGGAGGTGAAGTAGATTGGAATAATGTCCCTGAGGAAAAATCGTGGCATGTTGTCCAGGATGAGACCATACAGAGGAAGGTAGAGGGAAGCTATTCTTGCCTGTTTCTCCTGCAAGTTTGACCAAACAAATAGATTTCACATGGTTTAATTCGATATGTTAACCAGCTTTTTATTGCCAATGCTAGTTTATTGTTCTTGAACAGGAAACAGCCACATATATTAAATTTGGAAAAAAGAACTGTGACAAATGTGTAGCATATATTGCAAATCCAGCTTTCTGATCAGTGTGATATACTATATGCAGCTCCATCTAACACTGATTTTGAAGATACCTTGGTAGCATAGCGTGCATCTAGCGAGTGCTTGGCCATGAGACTCTTGAGGGTTGCTAATGCCAGGTGTCGGAGGTCCTGTTCGTCCTGGAGTGCCAGCCCCAGTTCCCGTAGCAACAGGCCAGTCAGGAAGTGCTTCCTGCAGAACTCTCCTGTCAGGTTGTATTCAGGAATCGAAGCTGAGGACACCAATAGGTCAGGAATCAGGTCAATTTATCAATACTCACACTTATTAGCGTAAAGTCAATGCACATGCAAAGTAGCTGTACAATGTTACAAGGCATGGACATATTTACCATGAATACTTTGTGGCTCTGGGGATGCGTGGTCTGATATGAAAAAGAAAAGCAATAAATGGCAGACAGAAAAAAGTGAGGTGTTAAACGACTGACGGATGGGAGCACAGTTGGATGCACAAAAAAGAACACAATAACATTTAACTGCACTAACCTGAGATGCGTGCAGAAGGTAAAGGCAGGCTGAGAGGGATATAGTGTTCATGGTTACACACCTCTCTCAGGAACTCAAACTTTAGCTCACATAAGGCCTAGCAGAAATGACAAAGATTATAAACAAATGCACTAGTACTTAGTAACAGTATAGAGTCTATTAACCACCTTGCTGTCAGTTGCAGTAATCATGTTGATATAGTTACTGATGAGTTTGAAAGTAAAGCCTCTGTCCATCATTGTAAAACAGCGCTGTAGAAACAAACCACAATTTGTGATTTTATGTAAAAATGTAATTTCAATGTAATTTGAAATATCAGTGATCCTTCACAAAGTTGTTTGTTTTAGTTGGCATACAAAGATAAACTACTTATATCTCTTAATTAACTGAGTGGATAGCTCTCTTACCTTGACAAAAGCAGCAACAGCTCCATTAGCAATGCGTGTTTCCTCTGGCAAGTCCTTGTTTTTCCAAAAAATGTGTTCAGACACAGTTTCCACCAGGGACTCCACGCGGCTCAAGTAAGATGAGGGAAAACGCTGGGGCCTTGGAAGCTGAATGGGCAAAAATTAACAACAGGAAATTTAAAGTAGTCCTTTCTGGCTCCATAGTTTCAGTATGATTTAACAAAACAAACTAAAAGCATCTTACCTTTACTTTGTTACCATCTATCAAATGTTGTGCCATGGACTTGACTATGAGCTCAAAGAAGAACCAAGAAAACTGAAAGAGAAAATGTGCCATTAACTACCACACACGCACACACGCACGCGCACACACACACACACACAAACAACAAAATTAATAAAGATGTACCTTGAGTATGTTTTTGACTGCTGCCTGGTCATTGCTCTTCAGGTCAAAGGTCATTCCTTTGGCTAACTCCTCATGGACTGTTCTGAATCCATGAGCCTCTGTCTTGAACACATACTGTATGAAAAGATAACAGATTGTTTATTCTTAGCAATGCTATCTTTCAGATAAGCTACTAAATACAAAATACAAAGTGGTGAGTTGATCAACTTAAATGTAGACACATTCACTTTTGTATTGGTTTACAAGCACAGAAACACATGCTTTCTGTCTGCACGCACACATTATGGTAATTTGAGTACCTCTAGTAGTGAACATTATGCCAATATGTTACTATGGCAACCTTGCTTCTATTAGCTAAGCTGGCCTTCTCCTTTTACCTCCCACCATCCATCTTGAAGCACTGCAGTTTTTATCCATGGTCACAAATATGGAAAAACCTGATTTTCTAACTACATTGCTGTTGCTTTATAGCACATGTTTCTGATTAAGCATGCTAAATGTCCTAGTTTTCTGAATCAGCCCTCTTTGTCTTTTTCTTAAGCTTCTGGGCAAGCAGTTTTTGGAATGAACAAAGATCCCTGGAACAAACATACCTCACTGTCCCATCTGTTTTGAAACATCTGAAATAATTACCTTTATATAAGAGTGCAGGAAATGATCCAGGTTTTCTTCATGGCATTTTGAAACAATATGGACCAGCACTCTGCAAGAAGAGGCAAACAAAACTATACCTGTATATTTGTGTAATGCACTTTGTGTTTGTATTTTTCTGTGGGTTTTTTTATCTTAAACTGTGGGTAAAACTCAGTACCATGACCAACCTTGTGGTGGCAGTAGTGACCTCATCATTATCATTTTGAGTCAGAACCTTGAAGAGCTGGTTGAAGAACACAGGCAGAAATCGAATAATGACTGGGATTCTTTCTATACTGAGTAGACCCTAAGAAAAATAAACAGTGTTTGAATTACAGTTACAGTATTTGTGTATTTCATGTTAGATACTGAATACATGCTTTAGATCATTTCAGACCTTCAGGCAGTTAAGGAAGTTTGAGGTAGGAGGTGAAGAGAGGTCCAGCTCTCTTTTCTGGCACTGCTGAAAGAATCTGTTCAAGTGGGGGTCCTGGCAAAGACACATACAATTTAAAACATGGTGTTTTAAAAACCCATAGACATGCTGATGCTAAAGTGTTATCTCACCTGAGTATATACAGTTGAGATCACATTGGTGGACACTCTAAAAATGGCTTTTCCCCCATCCACCCATTTCACATCTGCACAGCTCTATAAAGTGACACCAACAGAATATATTACATTGCAATTTCTCTAATATGCACATCCGTTAAATTAAAAACTTTCTATTATTAATCATCATTTAAATATTAATAAAAGTCTTAAAATAACCACACTGAGCTCACCTTGGTGTTACAGGCTTCTTTAATTCCCAGGTAACCCGGTGGAAGGTTTGAGGAGACCGAGATGTTGAACTCCTGAGTTGCAAGACGGCCCTCTTTAAGGAGCGGCAGCCAAGCATATCCCACTAAAAAGCAAATATACAGGACAGTCAAATGTAGTTTAGAGACAAAAAATGCATAGAGTTATAGTTATAGTTATTTTATATTAATATTTTAAAATCTAAGAAACCATAACATGTAGTCTCTGGGCTTGTCAGACATTCAAAACATGTATATTTAATTAAAAGAAAAAAAGAAAAAAGTTTTTAAAAGTCATACATTATTTCCTATATTGTCTAACACACCTGACGTCTCCAGAGCTTCTTTCCTTTTTGCATTTGTCTTTGCATTAATGTCACATGTGACATGGTAAAAGGAAAAGAGAAGATGGTGCTTTTCATGAAGATGTGTGGGAAGCTCCAACTTTACCTGAGGACAGAATGTGAAAGTTATAATGAATAGTGCAGGTGGCTGGAAATGCTAATTTTACAGGATAGTCTAAACACTGTTATGTCCATGCATTTTACAAACCTCATCATAAAAGTCAGGGTTCTGAGAGTGATGCAAAACAGTAGAACAGGCTGATGTGGTAAAAAGTGGCCCTCCTGGCTTGCCATATATGCACTAAACAATAATGCAAAAAGGTTTGAAAGTTGAAAAGCATTGAAAAAACAATAACATTATTTTAAGGAGCCACTTAGTTTATTACCTTTACTGGCTTGGCACTTTCTTCGTCTGAGCTGCGGAACTCTACATAGACTGCAAGATTACGAGCCTGCGAACAAAAGGCTCTTTGTAACACTTCTGCATCTTTCCACATACAAAGCAGCAAGAAATAACAACTGCAGCACAATAGACAAACCAAAACATGGGCAAGATCATAATTAATCCTTACCTTTGCAAAACTCTTTTGGCTGTCATACTTAAGGTGTTTAGGGTAGACGTAGATGTGATTCTTGTAAACACGGTGTGGCTGGGTGAACTTAGTTGTGTCTTGGACAAACTCCTCAACCTCTACTGTAGGCTGATGTTTGCTCAGTTCTTCAAATGGCTTTACTGGGACATAGGAGGAGGTCAAGCAATCTGGAAATATATAAAATGTAAATTATGGCTCTTCACAATATAGAATACCGTAGGTAAGATTTGAGAAAACATACTTGGATGCTCCATTGGCACATAATCCATTCCAATATCCAGAGTCCCTGGAATAGTTTGTAATTTGCTTGTCTTCTCAGCCCTATACACACAATTTATTTATCACGGATGGACATTGTTACAACACTTAAATTATACAGCAAAAAGCCAATATTTTAAACTACCAATTTACCAGTGTTTAATATGGGGGGCTTTATGATCCTTACCTTCTGTATTCATTGACTAGCTTTATCAGGTCATCCGTGGATATTTTGTTGCTCTCCTGTCTGAAAAGAGGTGAGAAACGAGAATCTCGATCCAGGGCCCCATGGTTGTCCTTAAACACTGACCTGTAAAAAACAAAGAATATTAAAGCTACTATATTTATAAATTGTTATTCCAATATATTTAACATTCACTCTTTCATAAGCACAAACCTCACAGCCCATGCAAAAGGCATGCGGTACTTTCCCAGTTTGCTACAGAAGTGCTTGTTAGATTTAATAATCTTCTGTACTGTCTGCAAGTGAAAGAACATAATGTAAAGATAAATAGACGGAGGAAGAAGGTGAATTTAATACAGTGTTACATGAGAACTCCTAATTTACTACAGCCCTACATGTACTGACAAGGTATTCAATTTAGTATCCCTGGCAGCAAGTTAGATGTCTGGCAACTCACTTAACTGTTTAAACAAACACTTCCTGCAAGTATCATGTTTAGTTCAATTACTGTGGCACTCAGAGTCTAAACATATTTTAACAGTATTTGTATAGAATGATCAATGCACAGTAAGTTTCTGTATTTGTAATGCAATAGTGTAAAAGTAATTCATTATGTAAAACAACTGCCTTTCAGACCTTGCTAGAGTCCGTGTTCTTGATGTATGGTTCTGTCCCAGATGCAATGTTTCCCATTAACACTTTTTCCACTCTGGCCACCATTACTATGTCCGTGTGGGGGTTGGTCACAGAAAAGATTGCCTGTAAGTAAACAGTGCAACTGTCAGTCAGTCATAGAAGAATAAGGCAACTAGACAGATATGCAACAGTTAAAATTTACCTTTTTGGGGAAGCAGAGCCAGTGCTCCAAATCCAGACTGAGGTAGCAGTCCCCTGATTTTTTTTCTGAAGAAGGCAGGCCATTCTCCTGTCCTCCTAGCCCCACTGCTTGACCATTACAGCAGCCCCCAAGCATCTGACGCACAGCCTCATGGTTCAAGTCCACATGGAAATCTGCCGAGATTTTTTTGCCCTCTCTTATATCCATTAGGGCTAATGATACAAAGAAAGGCTCAACCTGGAAAGACAAGCATATGTGTACTTACAAACAATCACAATTAAAACAGAAAACAAGTTTGTGTTTTTTTTTTGTTTTGTTTTGTTTTTACATTGGTTACTGGCTCAGTGTCCACTTCATTGAGGGAGCCTTGCAGCATGAGGTTAAGGCTTTGACAGGTGATCATAAACCTTCTGCCCAACTTCTCTTCAAAGGGACGCACAGTTGGCTCAGAAGATGAATGTTCAGATCGAGGGCTCCTTAAAACCTGTGCAGCCAAAATACATTGTATTTTACTCTTTCTTATTTTAGTTTTCTCTTTTATATATTCTAAAAACATGCAGAAGACTTGATACATACAGGGGTGTCAGGATCAAGAGAAAAAAGGTTCAGTCTCTCCTCCCTTCTGGCACAGCGAATTCCCTCATCTGTTTCTGCAATATACTGTACAAGAGGATCAGCACAACGATTAATAAAAGATTCCTGGCATCATTTCCCATGTATTTGGTCAGTTATAATTTGCTGAGGTAACTGGATATGCAACCAAAAAAAGGAAGTCTGCATGTTTTGTAGTCTCAAAATATCATAGTCAAGTACATAGATGTATCATGTTGGTCATTAAACAATGTACATTATGAAGCTTGGTATAGTGTTACAGAAAGTCATCAAATGTAAAAAACCTTTGCCAACTCAGGATTGATCCCATTCTCTGTTGTGTCTTCATTTTCCTGCAAACAGCTGTCACCCAACGACAGATCGAACACATCTGGGGACAAAATAAACACAACACAGTTTTATTTATCATAGTTTTGTTTAATGACTGTGACCAGATGCTGCAAGTGTGTTCAATAGATTCAGCTCATTCTTGTTCTAACCGGTTTTCATGGTAGTATCTTTTACATTGGACTGACCTTGGCGGTGTTCAGTGAGGTCCAAGCTCTTGCGGTCCGGCACAGGTGCATCGTGTGGACTGATTTGTAAAATACGAGACAAGGTGCTGATCCACTCCTCCATGTCCTGCTCACTTTCCGCGGCCAGCACAAAGTAAGTCACCTCATTCATTTTCAGCTCAAAGGCATGCTTTCTCAGCCTGTTGTTCTGCAGGAAATAAAATGAAAATTGTTTCAAATGATATTTAAACATGGCCTTATGTGAGATCTTAAACATATACCTGTACTACACCAGTGCAGGAGTCAAGGAAGATGCACCCTTTAGGCTCTTTTGAGATCTTTTCATCTTTATAGAAGTTCATGATGTAGGAATTGTCTGTCAGCTGAGTCAACTGGAAATATCTCCTTTTGAAAGACTGTAAATAAGGCAAGCACTGCTTAAGTAATCATTTTCATTTTGTTGTGTTGTGTTACATTTTATAAAATATATATTGTTTCTAAGACCCATTGTTCTGATAATGGCTGAATGCTTTCTGTCAAAATATTAACCTTGGGCTAACACAGGTGTAAACCAGAAGAAAATGTAAACCGGAGCATTGTCCTCACCCGCACAGTGATACTGTTGTTGACAGTACTGTTAAAGTTGCCCTTGTACAGCCAGCCTGACCGAAACACTCCATTGCATCCTGTGCCTGATCCAGCCCCACCCCCTTTGGAGGAGGATAGAGAAGTGGTGTCCTGTAAACACAAATACATTAAGATGCTACAACAGAAAGCTGGCGATCGATAAGAGAAGGGAAAGTTTATAGGTTTATTACATTGTCTAAATGATGTCCATGGCTTAAATGGTACTAGCTAACCACTTTTGTAGAGTATTTCTAACAACTTAAGCTGCCATAAACTAATTTTAACAAGAGAAGCAGGATGTTTCCAGCTTGGGATATATTCATACTAAAAGCATTCTGTCAAGAAACTGCTTACTGACCTCATCCTTGTCCACATCCTCATAGTCAATCTCAAAAGAATGGGATGGCAGCTTCTCCGCTTTGAATAATTTTCTAAGTAAAAAGAGAAAAAGTACTTAAAATACAAAACACTAAAACACTATGTACAAAACATCAACTTCATCAGTTATATTAGAAATGTTAAAGTGGCTGACTCTTCACCAGTCTTTATCTTTACATTAGCGAGAGAGGGGCAGCTGTTTAAAGTTTCTTAAGGCCGCTACAATCTACAAGAGAATTTGCCCGATTTAGGCTGCGATTCGCTTCTCCACAACTTCATGAGCAATTTTCTGACCTCTCATAAAGCTGTACATTTAAACTGCAGCATCTTATCTATATTATCCATAGAAATTGTCCTCCGCAAATAATGACACCCAGTCCACAAAACAGCATTGTTAGTACAGTATGAAGCATTTTTCAAAAGTAAAGCAGTGAAGCTGCAGGTTAGAGATAGTAACTCTACTTTCCATGCACTTTATTGCCAGCCTTCTGTGCATACAAATCATGTATCTGAAGTATTACATCACATTTCTCACAGTGAGTCATTTTACTTTAGACAGGAAATAGCTGGCAACAGGTGCACTCACAACTTTTAGGCCTTTTAGCCAAATCCAGGTGCAGTCTTTGTACTGAGAGATTTAAAATCTCATAAAATGACACATTTACATGCTGTACTACCAGCTGATTAATGTGCACTGTCCCATATTTAATAAATAAACATAAACATTCTCCTCACATCTGTGGTGTGCACTTTTTGTTGCATGTTTAAAAAAAGGTTTGAGATTGAAAAATTCTGCAATGTGTGGTGGCCTTTAGGCCTTTCCTTAAAGTGTTTGTAATACTTGTGAAAAGAGTTTTTATTTTAAACATACTTAATTAGTTTTAGTTTTTGTGCCTCTGGGTTTATATGTTAGTAAAACTGAGCTCACTATCTACATCCTGCTTTAAGACCAAACTAACGATTAGGTCATGTGAACAGACCCAAAACTACAGTGGCATGAGACTGACATTCCTGTGGTGAGAGGGGCTGCCCGGGTCAGCCTCTGTGGGACTGGGAACACTGACTGACTGACAGGATCATTTAAATAAATCATCGGACTTGAATAGATGTCACTAAAGTGTATATTTATAAAGGAGAGAGTAGAAGCTTGTCCCTAGTTGTACAAATAAACAAAACATCTTTTCTAATGTCTATCTTGTTCTTGTTTATGACATCAAGATTAGGGCTAGATCCTTGTTTATACTGAACTTGTATAGTATATTTTATCTTTTAAACAACATTGAACGATTACATTGAGGAGTGCAGTACCTGGGCAAGAGGCGGTAGTCTCCAGCGTAGTCTTCATGCATAAACTGGACTACATTCAGGTCGGAGTTATAAAACATACAGGCCTGGTAAAAGATCAGAAACAATAGAAAGTGGGTCTAAGAGAATCTGAAACATTGTGAGAAGGAGTAGATCAGACAGTTGGCACGTTTGAGACGTGTAGTGTATGTACATTTGCAAAATAAACATACCCATGATCTGCCTGAGTTTCAGATATCATGTTTAAACGTGGTTAATTCCTTTAGACTTCCTGGTGGACTGGCCCTGTTTACTATAAGCTGTTATTTTTCTACAAGTTTAATGGTCCTACCATCACAGCCTCTAAATTAAATATTCTGGGGGGACAAACTGATGTTCCAAACCTAAATTTAAGATTTTGAACCAATGGTGCATTGTTTGCATGAATACTAAATACTAAACATGCAGAAAACTGTATTTTACGGTCATACTACTAAAAAAGTAATACAACGTAACTGTCATAGCCTCTCCAAAAAGTACTTTTAAAGTTTATGCATAGTGTAGCAGTACTTGAGTATATAAACAGATGTTGCAGACCACAGCAGCTCACTCAGCCTCACCTGTCTGACCAGCAGACACTCAGCTTCTCCCTCTGCCCCCTCTGGGACTGTCGATTGGAGAGTCCGCCTCTCCTGAGGCACAGTAGACACCTGTGAAGACAGAAAATGTCATCTTTGAAATCCTTTAGCAAACACTTTGTATTATTACAATCATCAACAGAAATGAGTTCTAAATATACTTAGCACAAAATACAAATCTGACCTTGAAGTCATGATCTGGAAAAAGGAGCAGGTCTCTGAGAGGATCCTCCTTCAGCTCATCCCCCAGCTCTGAAATGACCGCCTCATAGTCTAGAGGGTCAATCAGCTTAGGCTTTTCCTGCTGTGAAAATACATGTGACATACACTTCAATTTCAGTCACTTAAAAAAAATACAGGTGTCAACAGTGAGTCATAATGAAACTAAACTCAAACTGCAGCTAATGACGCTGTGACATTTTTAGCCACAGTAATAAAGGAAGTAAAGCACTATTGTTATAAAAGCATGAGGTTCTTCTGGCACATAATACAACTTTTCAAATTATTGAGGAACAACAATTAGAAATGCCAACATAGCTACAACATGGCATAAAAGAAGAATAAACAAAACATTCATGCCTTAAACGGAAACCAAATCAAATAGTGGGATAAGGTTACCAGTGCTTTATGTGATTTATGTGATTTAGGGTTTGTGACCTGATTTTGAGAGTGAAAAGCAATATATACTAGTATATGAGTTCTGTCACAAGAGACAAGAGCAAACAAGTACTCGACCACAGCCTAAACAAGTGCAGTTTAGGCTGTGGTCTGAAGCAGAGGAAGTCAGTCACACGTGGTCCCTCACACTCACAATCCAATCTATGTCCACAGCCTGTCCAATGCACTCGACATATCAGGAGCTATATTTTCTTTTGTGTATGAATATGTAGTTGTAATGTGCAAACTGAGATGATGTAAAAACATAGTAATGATAAAATTCTATTAAAAAATGAAACAACAACAAAACTGAGCTTGTTATTTTCATGGTTTGGTGACACTGAACACTGAATGTTGTACTATGACTCATATGGCATAACTGAAAGTTTTGGGGAATTTGTCTTTCATCAATTTTCTCTAACAGCCTAATTTCACTTCAAGCATTCACAAAGTGGACAAAACAAGAATCAATAATACTACAATCAATTACAATATCAATAATACTACAATTGATTACAATATTGACAAAAAAACCCAAACAAAAATAATGTACAAACATACTATACTTATCCGAGTGAAATCCGAGCGCACACGTTTGGTCTTTGTTTTTCTCCTGAAAGTAATTTTGCTTCTGAAACTCATTGTCTCAAATCAATAGTATAATTTAAAACACAAGATAAGGTAAGGTATCATGCCAGTACTGTTGTCATGTGCTCTATCAAGAGGCAGCAAGAGAATGAGTTGGTTTAGGGCGGTGTGTGAGTGCATGTGGATGTAGAGGAAGTAGATCTCTGACGTCCGACGTATATTTTACCACAACATGTGAGAAAATCCCCGAATAGTCAGCCAACCACAGACTATGGTTATGCATCACATAATTTCTTCCACCTAGACAGAAGCTTCACATATTACTGAATGTGACAGTGACATCTTAATGCACAGACTATTTGTTAAGACAGAATTATCCAAGTGTGACGTGCATACAGACACGCAAATTCACTTCCTCCATAAAACCTCATAGCAGAAGAGAAGTTATAATATAAAGGAAGTTTTGATGTTGTGTGTTGCCAGTGTCACCAAAATGAAGAATGTGCAGAAAACATTTGCTTAAATGTTAAAAAAAAAAATCAGTACAAATGACATAGTATAAAGTTCAAGACTCTGCAAAGGAGAGCATCAGTATGACCTGTTTTGAACTGCAGAGCTCACACCCAGTGTTTTACATGTGAACACTGCAGTATTCTGTGGTGGCTCAGCCCTGCCCCTCATCCTCCCTGTTGCACAGCACCTGCCTCTGTTGGCTCATGTCTCTACCCCCTCTCAGTGCCTCTCTCATCTATTCAAACACACCACTCTTCATTGCATGATTTGCCTTTGATTTCCTCTTTGTATTTACTGCCCCCTTTTGAACCAGTTTTATGATGTTGCTGATGTTGGTAAACTGCTGCAATGGTCACAGTGACCCTTAACACTACACTAGCTATAAATGAAGCAGTGCGTGGAGTTGTGAGGAAAACTGTTCAACACTGATGTGAAGACCTGGAAACAGAGAGGGGGGCAGAAGGGGGCAGAAGAGAGGTCCAGGGAGAGACAGTGGGCTGCAAAAAGCACAAGACATCTGCTGTGCATCATTACAGCAACACAAGGACAGGGAAAGATCGGCAAAACTAATGTGATTTGAATTTCACAGAGGAGCCAGCTGTGACGAAAAATGACTGTGTAATCAAATGTGAGGAGATAGTTCAAGAGCAAGCAGTAAAAACAATATTGCTTTAAGTCAGTAAAATTATGAAAAAAATAGAAAGTGTGCAAGAAAAGGCCATTGAGGATATGAGTTAATATTCTTTGCATATTGCAATTTTTTAGCTTATTTTTGCTTTTATCCCACTAAAATGGTAACAATGACTACACTTTTCTTGAGTTTGACAAAGACAACTAGTTACCACAGTAATGTAAAGATATACTTTGTGGTGATCATAAACTTGACCAGAGTGTGTGTGAAGAAACAGGTCACATTTAATTTATTCAAACTAATTCATTCACTAAGTCGATGTTGGGGCTTCTTATTCATACTTTAGTTTGAATGGCTATTTTTAACATCACTGGGGTATGTAGGCAGAAGAAGCTCATTTTCCCACAGAAACTGGATTCCTCATGACTGACCCCACTTTACTCCCCCCCTCCATTTCCGCCACAATGAGGAAACCAACCAGACCTCAGTCATTGATCAACACATATCAACCTCTGCAGCAGAAAGTTAGACAATAGACACATTCCACATCAGACTCCATTTGTTTGAAAGTGCATGCCATGCTTATAGTAAGAGTGGTGCAGAGTTGTGCAGGTTACCATGACGATGATTGTCAGTGGTGAGGTGGTAGTCGCGCTGTACGCCTCTAGAGTAGGTGTGGCTGCGTCCAATGACATCTGGTCTTGTCGCACGCACATGTGTCCACAGTCTGGCCCTCCCACTGAGCGCAACAGCAGCACCGCACTGGCAGAACAACCCATACTCCACAGCTCCTAACCAGCTACACCGTGTCTAAAGGGTGCTCTACTGTAGCTCACATAAGCTCTAGTCATTTGGTTAAGTCTAGCCCTTGGTTTCCATCTTGTGCTTCTCTGCTGCACTGCTACAGTCAGTGGCGGAGCTCTACCAGCCAGCAGCCTGTCCCTCTCTCTTTCCTTTCACACACAGTGACTGCAGATGTGAGCGGTTCAGCCCAGCTCACCAACAAATCACAGTCTGCAGTGGCTGTCAGCTGACCAGAACCAGCTGCAGCACACACTCACACACTACAGGAGTTTTGCTGATTTTCATTTTGCACCATTTTCTCTCAATCACTCACACATGCACTTAAACAAAGTGTGTGCAATAGTATGGGGCTTTAAGAACAAAATAGCACTAAAAAGCACTCATAAAAAGAATGTTACCGATCCAATAAGGAAATCAGAAGAGAGTATAAACTGCTATCAAGGCTCACAACAGTTCCTTGACTTGACTCAAATCCAGTGATAAACTGTTGAGTTTCACATTTATCATTGGATGAAGTATTACATGCAGCAATCAAACTGCAATCATGAAATTGTGACAGAAAAGTACTTGTCAACATCCAGCATCTTATGGTACATTTGAAAAGACAAAAAAAGATGAATAAAATTTAGTCTGAACAGCAAACTCCTAATAAAGTACTTATGTAAATGTAAGTATTATTGCATTGACTGAAAAAACTGGATCATGTTCCAGATTGGAAGTTGCCAGAGCAGCTTTGTTTCTCCTGGAAGTATTATGTGAGTCTATTGAATGGAAAAGGGGGAGAGGGTTGGTGCACAGATGTATGCAGGGTTATGGGGTAGAGCTTCCATGTGAAATTCCCCCGACTTCGGTTCAACGCTCGGAGAGGCAAAAGGACGCTGGCTACAATGATATGTTCCATTACATCACTGCTGATCTGCAGCTTGGGCCTATCCATCACTTTTACAACTGCACTTTCATCATCTCATCTGCCATTGCTCATGTTCAATTACAATTCAGATTAAAATGCCTTGTAATATAATATTGTAGGATAAGGGGACACATAAAACAACACAAAGAAAAGGCTTTAAGATTGGGGGTGCTTTGCTGAAGACAATGTTTATTTTTTGTTGAATTACCATGTATGTGATGTATAGAAAATATGAGATGGCAATTCTAAATTCAGCATGCATAAGTTTGGCAACCGTATGTTATCATTGTGGTGAAATTCTACACTCTACTCCATGAACATGAATACTGACTAAGAAGAGCCTTGCCTGATGTGTGCCTTTACAAACATGTTAATTGAACATTATCTATCAATTTAGTTTGTATTTTTGTAATGAATTTAGGTCACGTTTTTACTTAATAGTAATTTGTTACTGCTTTTTATATGAAACTTGCCCATGTGCAAAACTTTGAAAGAAGTTGAATCAGCCTCATTGTATGTACAAGTTAGTCACACAACATGCAGAGGCCAGCAAACTGCAAACACTGTGTTGCCTTTAGAAAGGACGTAACCATAGTGATGATGTCAGGTCATCATTAAGGTCGTTAGTGTCCATGTCAGTGTCCCCCACAGTCCCACCCACCACCTCTGCAAGTGCTCATCATTATAATACTTTACACAGCTAAATATAAACAGCATGCATTATGGGTCCACAGTGAAAGCATCTGCACATAAGACAGCCACAAAGCCTCTCCCACACAGTTTGCAAACATTAACATGCCCTGTAAAGTACAGGATAAGTGAGTACAAAATATAAGAAGTAAGCACAGCCTACCACCAACTTGTTTTAAAGGGCCCTCAGTGAGAGCCAATGGCATTTGATAACAACATGGCTGATCATTTGAGTCTAAAACACACAAAGAGGACCACAGAGATGAGCTTTGTTGAAATGCCAGAAACACCACAATAGTCCGGTCATACAAATAAGCCCACACAAACATGCCCAGCAGATGCCAGTTGTCCCCATGTTCTGCAGCTCATATTGCTTTCATTCACTCTGGATCTAAACAAGATATAATCACTACAAAGGCGATTGGTTTATTCTCACTCAAACTATTTATGCAATGAAATCAGAGACAAAAATGTGCATAAACACTTCAAGCGACACACATTTACAATGTAA